AACCAAAAGACACGCGCCCTAAGTCGTCAAGAGAGTTTGATAAACAGCAGAAACTGTCGCGCGCTGCTGACGCGAGCTGGGCGGCGATGCATTAAATGCACTCACACATTTGCGAGCCAGTGCTTGCTGCCTCAATTGCCAGTATCCCCCAATGAAAATATGTTTTACATGACTGCGGCTTCAATTTGAACCAATCGGATTAGCATATATCTTTACTTCGCACAACAGCCGCACAGAGTTTTGTCTCTTCACGTGAAGAGGAGTTACTTCAGCACGGTGGGAGCAGTTCTGATTACATCAGCAGATTCCCTTTCCAGGTTCGGTGCGACACTCAGCATCAAAGAAGCCTCTGTGATTGGTCACAGACACTTCGAAGGCCAAAGGTTTTGGGAAAGCTTCCAATCGAAACCCCCAACAGAATCCACGGTGGCACATAGGTTCGGTCCGAACATGAGGTTCTCGTGAGCCCCCTCCCCACAGTCTGGGACTCTCACGCGGTGGGAGGGGTCTCTGGCAAAGAACCCATTCCTCAACTTGCGGCAGCCTTGCCCTAATATTTCTGCCCGAGCATTCCTGCTTTTTGGGCTAGCCTGTGAGCTACACATTCTCTCCGAACCAGTGCTCTTGTGCACTGCATGCAGCCAAGGTCTGGAAGCGGAGCCGCGACCTGTCCAGGTCTGGTGGCTGCCTCGATTCGAATGCGCTGGTTCTATCGGACGGAATGTGGGGGCGCAAAATTCAGCGTCCTTGGCCTGTGTCTGTTGCATTGATGCGCATTTGAAGAAACAACGGAGCATTTGGTTGTGAAGCGCATGCAACAGACATGCTGGCGTGTACAGTGCGCCTGAGCACTTACTGCAACCACTTTCGCAACTTGGTTTCATCCATGCAGACGCTGACTCAAACCTCACTTATTACACCCTGTTTCTCGACCCTCTCACCTTGCGCGATTCGCTGCTACAGTGCGGTCAGGTGCCATAAACCGTATGGCTGAAACCTGCGGGCAAAGCCGCACCAGCTGACGGAGTGGTACTGGGGGCAAAATTTTTCTTTATCGCTGTATACCCTTTTCAACCGCTTTGAAACGCTTGGTTAATGCTCTTTACCATGCAGCATCCTAGCTAACCGCTTTCTTGTGAATGTGCTTGTACCGTCGGTGATAAGACCATTTCAAACGTGGTGACGTTCTACAACCAGTGCATGTTCTGCAACCAGATGCTCTGCTAGCGCGAAACAGGGTGTACCCCTCTTACGTCCACCCAATGCCCCCCTCGCAGCGCTGTCTGTCCGCTATATTATCTCATGCAGCATCCGATCCGATCAGCGCAAAGGTAACTGCAAAGCAACCAACTCGCTCGCATCTAGGTGCAGCTTTTGCTGCCGTGGGCATGGCAGCACTAAAACCACAATACAAATTTGCGTAAACACTCAAAACACCGCCAGCGCATTGCCGTGCTCCAGCCTCTTTGGCTCTCCTTTCCACCTTATCCCATCCCCTGCCCTCGATTTTTTTTTCGGCCGTGTCGGCATTCGGTCGGTCGCCTCGCCTCGCCTCGCCCCTGCTTTTTCTCTCGTCACTCCCCATAGGCTAACAAACAGTACGGCAAGGCAACTGATCCCGCCCTTGCCTTTAACCGAACCTGATCGCAGTGTCGGCTTCAGCCCCTGCGACCAGCGCGAGGAAGGGAGCTGTGGGACTTGGTCGATCTTGCCTTTTTAGCGGAAAGCTCGTTGTGATCTGAAGTGATGCCATAGGCCTAAAAAGGTGATCTGAAGCGTGCAACGCCCATTTTGTTATCAGGGCGTATTCCTGCACTTCGGGTCATCAGCACTTCGGGTCATCCGAGATTGTGGGATCCAATCGGAAAATCGGAATGCATCCCAATCTCTTGATTCCGAATTTCCGATTGGATCTTACAATTTCGGATGGCCCGAAGTGCTGATGACCCGAAGTGCAGGAATACGCCCTTAGATTCATCCGACTACCAGCGACTCTCGGACTGGACCACACTAGCAATAGAAGTAAGCGAGGCTAATAACAGTGGTTAGTGGTAAGCGGGGCACCGCATCACACGTCTCCCACATCACTGCCTTTTTCTCCTGCGTTTGGGCCTTTCGCTCCTCACCACCTTCCCGGCAAAAGCTCCAGCAAAGCCGCATTCTTCTCAAACTATCTTCTCTTTTGCGCCAATCCCCACATTCCGGATTCGGAAGAGTTTCTGCCCGAAGATCCCCCCTTCGTCATTCATCGTCACGGCCATCTCGATACAGCGCTCGTGCCGCGTCGTCGTGCGTGTTTTGTTCCTCTACAGTGCTCAGAGATAGTATGGAGTACCGCGGCTCGGAGCCGGTACTTAGCATGCCCCCGCCCGTTTCCTGCGACCGACACATCCACGGAACTGCTTCCGCCGCCGCCGCTGCCGCCGCATCCGCCGGCGCTGACGCCGCTAAAGGTCCCGACGGGCTAATGGCGTCGCGGGCGATCCGCAAGACGCTCGAGGACGTGGAGATTCGCGCGCTCGAGGGCAAACTGCAGCTGCTAGAGACGCAGCGCCAACTCAGCGCAGTGCGGTGCGAGCAGTTTATGCATATGCTCGAATCCTCCATGGACCAATCGTTGCCGTCGCCGCCACCGTCGCCGTCATCGTCACCGTCACCGTCACCGTCGCCGTCGTCGTCGTCGTTGTCGCCTTCGTCGTCAAACTCTTCATCGACAACCGTCTCCGAGGCGCCGCCGTCTGCGGCGCCTCCCACTGTGGCGACGCCCCGCGGCGCGAGGTTATCGATGGTGCCGCGGAGCGCGAGCCGCAGCGGAATGGACGCTTGGGGTCATTACGCTGCAGACAGCTCGTCCGAGAGGGCCTCGACATCTCCTAGAATATCGGCGGCGGCGGCGGCGGCGGCGATTGCGGCGGCAGGGGCAGATCACGACTGTCGTACCAATTCTTTCGGAATCAAGTCGTTCCCGAGGCCTGTTACCAGTAAGACTACTATCAGACGGAGCGCGAGCCATCATGCTCTGGAGATTCCGCGAAGCGCGTGGGACGTTCCTCTCCTGTATCCTACTTCGCTTCGTACCATAAAGAGCCCCTCCCAACGGCGCTGGTCGTTCGAGCTTTCCCGGAAGCCACTTCCGCGAACGCCGAGGCGCCGCATCGAAGATTGCGGCGGTGGCGGCGGCGAGGGCACGGTGACGAGAAGCTACCACGGCTGTGGTGAGACGGCGAGAGACGAGAGAGACGACGATGGCGACGGTGACGACGAAGAGGAAGAGGAGGATGAGCGGGAGGAGGAAGAAGAAGAAGAGGAAGGGGACGAGGAAGATGAGGACGAGGAGAACGGCGCGTCTGGGGAAGAAACAGCGGGGTGGAGGAGCCGCAGGCGACCTATCGTTCCAGCTGCTAACAGGAGCCTAGTCTCTCCGTCCTACTTGCTTCTCTCCCAGTCCTGCCCCACCTCCTCGTTTCATCCTCGGTCCTCGTTCAGCAGCAGCAGCAGCGGCCGTCGCGGCGGCGGTGGCGGCGGCAGTGGCGTCAGCAGCAGCAGCGGAATTCCGAGCAGTACCAGCACGAGCAGCCTACTGTCGGCTGTTTCAACCACTAGCAGCAGCTTTGGAAGGAGCATCAGCAGCATCAGCAGCTGCAGCAGCTACAGCAGCGCAACAAGCAGCACCAGGTACAACCACGGCAGCGGCAGCTGCAGCAGCTGCAGTGGCAATAACCATTGCCACTGCCAGTACCACTGCCATTGCCAGGGCCACGCGTTAGAAAGCAACCTCGCCTGTCAGGGTAGTGGATTGGCCAGGTGCAAGCCACCGAAGAGTAACAGATTTGCACGGAGTGACACCGTTACAAGCAGCGACTCATTCTGCCCTGCTGCTGCCCCGCTTGCAGCCGTCTCCCCTCGTGCTACCTTTCCATACTCACACTCCCCACATTCCTCTCATTCCTCTCATTCCTCGCATTTCTCGCATTCGTCGTATTACGCGCATTCCCCGCGTGCCTCCGCCTCTCCTCGCTGCTCCTCCTCTCCCCACAGCTCCTCCTCCCCGCGTGCGCCTTCCTTCTCGCCCCGCACGCCCCGCAGTCACCGCTCCTCGAGAACAGCGCGAGCGTGGCTCGTGCGCCATGCTAGCTTGACCTCCCTCATCCAACCCTCCTCGCCCTGAACCCTTCTGCCAAACGCTCTCCCTCTCCCTGAAAAACGGCCGCCTCTGCCTAGCACCACTGTTGTTTATCCCTAGATTCCCGGCCGGCAGCACCTTCCTGTCTTGCCGTGCTGTGATGTGCTGCTGGCTATGGCGGTGGGGACAATGGTGGTGGGTGGCAGCGACGGCGGGGGTGCTTGCAGCATGAGAAAAGGCCAGCAGGACCAGCAGGACCAACATGACCAGTAGGTATGCCACGCCACCCCAACAGCCCCCTCTCTGCCAGGATCGACCCCTCCTCACCTTGACTCTTATAACAGGGCAGGGCCTGGGTTCGGGCTAGAGGGTTGGGAATAAGCTGTGGAGTGAGCTCAGCTCAGCTAGAGAGTCCCTAGATACAACATACCACTAGATGCTCCCTAGATCTTAGCTGGTGCCTTGTCTACTGCCTGTCCTGGCGATGTTACGGTGGGTTCAGGCTGGCCACACTTGTACACCTGTTGTGTACCATGTGGAGTTGGGAGCAATAAATGATTCATTTGTTATGGAGGATGGAGTGGTAGTACTACGTTATTACGTGCATTAGGGGGGGTTAAAATAATACAAAACTAGCCAGTGTACTGGTTAAGGATAACCACATCCCTGATTAAAGAATAAATCAAAATCTTCGCACAGCACGTGACCAAGCGAAGCCAGTTGTGGAAACATGCACTTTCACAGAGAACTCTCTACACCACTGTCTTTCATCCCCACAACAACTGCCCATCAGCTGCACGAAATTAATCCGGGAATGCGATGCGATGCGAGCACCATGGCCCGTTCCTGACTCTCTCCTCTCCCCGGCGCCACGGTGTCAGACAAACACAATGGTCTTGTTGTGGCTGTAGCGCAGAATGCGGTACTCTGCATAGTACTTGACAGCCGCGGCCAAGCACTGCTTCTCCAGGATCTTGCTCTTGGCTGCAAAGGACGCCAGGCCCTCCCTGTGTGACACCCGGTCCACCTGAGATGCAGGGAGGCAGGCAGGCAGGCAGGCAGGCAGGCAGGCAGGGGGGGTAGATGCATCAACACGCCATGCCATGCCATGTCATGCCATGCCATGTCATGCCATGCCATGCCACTGTGAGATGTCGCTAAGCATTTGGTGTTGAGGGCTTGAAGAGTGGAAAGGGAGAAGGAGGAGGCAGATCCAGAGAGGAATGACTTGGTATGTAGGAACAGAGGAGAACATGCGGGCGGGAGGCACTTGTACTGCACTGCTAGCTACACTCCTATGTGCAAACAATAGATGAGGCTAAAATGGGGCGAGGGACGTGGAGCGAGGGAGAGAGTGACGACGATCCGGGAACACATTCCCTCCTTTTCTTCCTCTCCTCTCTCTCCTCTCTCTCCTCTCCCGATCTTGGTCGCCCTCTCACCAGTTGTTCAATGATGGGCCTGCAGTCAAGCTCGTCCGTGACAAAGTGGCTTGTCTTTTTAAGACACCTCAGAATTTATTCCTCTCTCTCCCCTCTCTTACTCCCTCATGCACTCTCACCAGTTGTTCAATGATGGGCCCACAGTCAAGCTCGTCCGTGACAAAGTGGCTCGTGGCTCCTATCAGCTTCACACCCGCCTTGAAAGCCTGTGAGGGCACAATAACAAGGGAAGGGAGAAAAAAAAATTCGCACGCAGGCAGACAGGCATACCCATAGAAGAGAACGGTACAAAGGTATCTTGCATGCAGGTTAGATTGGGGGATGATAGGAGGGCGATGCCCTACAATTTCTCTGCAATCACCCAATGGTCTGCACACACGGTCACATGCTGCCACGGGCACACACAGAGCTGCAGTCACGGCGTATGTGCCGATGCGTCAAGAACAGAACACGCTCAGGTGTCCCCATGCAAGCAACCTCAGATGGGGTTTTGAAACAGATTAGCATGCAATTGCTGTGAGTGGTGCGAGTGTTGTGTCGTGGTGGGAAGGGAGGGGGCAGTGGGGACCTGAAGGTAGGGGTTGGCGCCTTTGAAGGAGGGCAGCAGCCCGTGGTGAATGTTGATGATGTCTCGCCCGTACGAGGCCAAGAACCTGGGCGATAGCACCTGGGGCGATAATGGGGGAGGATGGGATGGGTCAGGATGAAAGAGCAGGAGTGGAGGGGGAGGGGAAGGGAGAGGAGGGCAGCAGCCCGTGGTGAATGTTGATGATGTCTCGCCCGTAGGACGCCAGGAACGTGGGCGATAGCACCTGGAGGGATCTGGGGGGAAGGAAGTGGGGAGGAGGATGAGTGGAGGATTGGGGAGGGGAAGAGGACGGCTGTGGTGATTGTTGATGATGTTGCAGCCGTAGGACGCCAGGAACGTGGGCGATAGCACCTGGAGGTGTTGCGGGCCCGGATGAGGGGAGGACAGGGAAGAGGTAGGGGAGGGGAAGGTGAGGAGATGGGTAAGACAAGAAAGAGCTTTGCTGGATCCAGCACAGGGAGCTTTTGTGGATGTTGATTACGCCCCTGGCACGGGGCGAGGGAAGGAGAAGAAATGGGGGAGGTACAGCAGAGGCAAATGGCAGCAGGAGACACACACACACACACACACACACACACACACACACACACACACACACACACACACACACACACACACACACGCACACACACACGCACACGCACGCGCACGCGCACGCGCACGCACATGCACACGCACACGCACGCACACGCACACGCACACGCACACGCGCACACACACACACACACACACACACACGCACACACACACACACACACAAGATGGTGAGTGAGACGAGTGGGCAAACGACGAGTGACATCAATGGGCCCGACCCGACCGACCCAAACACACGCACCGCACCGCACCCCTGCGATTTCTGAGGCGTGGGGCCCTGGCGATTTTTGAGGTGCCCCAACAATCATCAATGGGCCCGACCGACCCAGATGCACGCACCCCAGCACACCCCGAGACACTCCAACACCCGTCAGCACCCACCCCTAGCCATCCCTCACCACCCATCACCACCCCTCACCTGCATGTATCTGGCGAGCACGAGAAAGTCAGTGTGGGAGCCATGCACGAGTTGCAGAATGTCATCATCCTCGCGCTTGTTGCCTTGCCCGTGGCGGCGGGGTCCACAGGCAGGTGGTGGAAGGGGATGCCATGCCGTGTGACACGGATGGATGGACCCCACCCCACCCAGGCGCACACCAGCACATTCCAGCACCTGCCAGCGCCCATCACCACCCCTCACCACCCTTCACCACCGCCCGCCACCCACGGACCTGCATGTATCTGGCCAGAACCAGAAAGTCAGTGTGGGAGCCATGCACGAGTTGTAGAATGTCATCCTCTCGCTTGTTGCCCGTGCTGGGGTCAACGGGCAGGTGGTGGAAGGGGATGCCATGGCGATCCAGGAAGCGCCGCACGTGCGTGTTCTCACTGCGCGGGTGGTTGCTGTGGTGTGTGGCGGTGTATGGTGGTGTGTGGTGGTGTGCAGTGGTGCGTGGTGGTGTGAGGCGGATAGGATGGGAGGGAGGAAGGGAGGGGATGAGTGCGATGGCGAGGTGTTGCTGCTTTCTGAATGGCAGTGCGATGAGGCTATTGAGAAATATGCCCGCAGAAGAAAGGTTTGAGACGCATGGGAAGGGAAAGCACAGGCCCTAAGCGCGTGCATGCGTGGATTCGTGCTGCAAAGTGCAGAGAGCAGGGCGGAGGGCGCAGGTTGCAGGTGCAGAGGGTGCAGAGGGTGCAGCGGGTGCAGCAGGTGCTTGCCTGATGACGCAGTGAATGTCGACAGGCAGAACCCCCTCCTGCCAGCGATACAGAAGATCCACTAGGCAGTGGTCCTGATGCAATGCCATGGCCGCATGGCAGGGAAGCAGGGAGGGACGGAGGGCGGGAGGGAGGGAGGGATGGAGAAAGGGAATGGTCATTAGTGGTGTTTTTTATCATACAAACATAATATGAACATGAACATCAGCATCAACATCAGCATCAGCGCATCAGCATCAGCATCAGCGCATCAGCATCAGCATCAGCATCAGCATCAGCATCAGCGCACCAGCTTCAGCGCATCAGCATCAGCATCAGCGCATCAGCATCAGCATCAGCATCAGCATCAGCATCAGCGCATAAGCATCAGCATCAGCATCAGCATTAGCATCAGCATCAGCATCAGCGCATCAGCATCAGCGCATCAGCATCAGCATCAGCGCATCAGCATCAGCATCAGCATCAGCATCAGCATCAGGGCATCAGCATCAGCATCAGCATCAGCATCAGTGCATCAGCATTAGCGCATCAGCATCAGCGCATCAGCATCAGCATCAGCATCAGCGCATCAACGTTAGCGCATCAGCATCAGCGCATCAGCATCAGCATCAGCATTAGCGCATCAGCATCAGCGCATCAGCATCAGCATCAGCATCAGCGCATCAGCGTTAGCGCAACAACATCAGCGCATCAGCATCTGCATCAGCATCAGCTTTAGCATCAGCACATCAGCATCAGCATTCGCATCAGCATCAGCATCAGCATCATCATCAGCATCAGCGCATAAGCATCAGCATCAGCATCAGCGCATCAGCATCAGCATCAGCGCATCAGCACCAGTGCATAAGCGCATAAGCATCAGCATCAGCGCATCAGCATCAGCATCAGCGCATCAGCACCAGTGCATCAGCGTCAGCATCAGCATCAGCATGAGTATCAGCATCAGCATCAGCATCAGCGCATCAGCATCAGCTTCAGCGCATTAGCATCAGCATCAGCATCAGCATAAGCATCAGCATCAGCATCAGCATCAGCATCAGCATCAGCTCATCAGCATCAGCATCAGCATCAGCGCATCAGCATCAGCATCAGCATCAGCATCAGCGCATCAGCATCAGCATCAGCATCAGCGCATCAGCATCAGCATCAACATCAGCATCAACATGAGCATCAGCATCAGCGTATCAGCATCAGCATCAGCGCATCAGCATCAGCATCAGCACATCAGCATCAGCATCAGCATCAGCGCATCAACATCAGCATCAGCATCAGCATCAGCGCATCAGCATCAGCATCAGCGTCAGCGCATAAGCAGCAGCATCAGCATCAGTATCAGCATCAGCATCAGCATCAGCGCATCAGCATCAGCATCAGCATCAGCGCATCAGCATCAGCATCAGCATCCGCATCAGTATTAGCATCAGCATCAGCGCATCAGCATCACCATCAGCATCAGCATCAGCATCAGCATCAGCGCATCAGCATCAGCATCAGCATGAGCGCATCAGCATCAGCATCAGCATCAGCATCAGCGCATCAGCATCAGCATCAGCATCAGCATGAGCATGAGCATGAGCATGAGCATCAGCATCAGCATCAGCATCAGCATCAGCGCATCAGCATCAGCATCAGCATCCGCATCAGCATCAGCATCGGCATCCGCATCAGTATTAGCATCAGCATCAGCGCATCAGCATCAGCATCAGCATCAGCATGAGCATGAGCATGAGCATGAGCATGAGCATCAGCATCAGCATCAGCATCAGCATCAGCATCAGCGCATCAGCATCAGCATCAGCATCCGCATCAGCATCAGCATCGGCATCCGCATCAGTATTAGCATCAGCATCAGCGCATCAGCATCAGCATCAGCATCAGCATCCGCATCAGCATCAGCATCAGCATCAGCATCAGCGCATCAGCATCAGCATCAGCATCAGCGCATCAGCATCAGCATCAGCATCAGCATCAGCGCATCAGCATTAGCGCATCAGCATCAGCGCATCAGCATCAGCTTTAGCATCAGCATCAGCATCAGCATCAGCATCAGCATCAGCATCCGCATCAGCATCGGCATCAGCATCAGCGCATCAGCATCAGCATCAGCGCATCAGCATTAGCGCATCAGCATCAGCGCATCAGCATCAGCATCAGCATCAGCGCATCAGAGTTAGCGCATCAGCATCAGCGCATCAGCATCAGCGCATCAGCATTAGCGCATCAGCATCAGCGCATCAGCATCAGCATCAGCATCAGCGCATCAGCGTTAGCGCATCAGCATCAGCGCATCAGCATCAGCATCAGCATCAGCACATCAGCATCAGCATTCGCATCAGCATCAGCATCAGCTTTAGCATCAGCATCAGCATCAGCACATCAGCATCAGCATTCGCATCAGCATCAGCATCAGCATCAGCGCATCAGCATCAGCATCAGCATCAGCATCAGCGCATCAGCATTAGCGCATCAGCATCAGCGCATCAGCATCAGCTTTAGCATCAGCATCAGCATCAGCATCAGCATCAGCATCCGCATCAGCATCGGCATCAGCATCAGCGCATCAGCATTAGCGCATCAGCATCAGCGCATCAGCATCAGCATCAGCATCAGCATCAGCATCAGCATCAGCATCAGCGCATCCGCGTTAGCGCATCAGCATCAGCGCATCAGCATCAGCATCAGCATCAGCTTTAGCATCAGCATCAGCATCAGCACATCAGCATCAGCATTCGCATCAGCATCAGCATCAGCATCAGCATCAGCATCAACATCAGCGCATAAGCATCAGCATCAGCATCAGCGCATCAGCATCAGCATCAGGGCATCAGCACCAGTGCATCAGCGCATAAGCATCAGCATCAGCGCATCAGCATCAGCATCAGCGCATCAGCACCAGTGCATCAGCGTCAGCATCAGCATCAGCATTAGTATCAGCATCAGCATCAGCATCAGCATCAGCGCATCAGCACCAACATCAGCGCATCAGCATCAGCATCAGCATAAGCATCTGCATCAGCATCAGCATCAGCTCATCAGCATCAGCATCAGCATCAGCATCAGCGCATCAGCATCAGCATCAGCATCAGCGCATCAGCATCAGCATCAGCATCAGCATCAGCGCATCAGCATCAGCATCAGCATCAGCGCATCAGCATCAGCATCAGCATCAGCGCATCAGCATCAGCGCATCAGCATCAGCATCAGCATCAGCGCATCAGCATCAGCATCAGTGCATCAGCGTCAGCGCATCAGCATCAGCGCATCAGCATCAGCATCAGCATCAGCTTTAGCATCAGCATCAGCATCAGCGCATCAGCGTCAGCGCATCAGCATCAGCGCATCAGCATCAGCATCAGCATCAGCATCAGCATCAGCACATCAGCATCAGCATTCGCATCAGCATCAGCATCAGCATCAGCATCAGCATCAGCATCAGCGCATAAGCATCAGCATCAGCATCAGCGTATCAGCACCAGTGCATCAGCGCATAAGCATCAGCATCAGCATCAGCGCATCAGCATCAGCATCAGCGCATCAGCACCAGTGCATCAGCGTCAGCATCAGCATCAGCATCAGCATCAGCGCATCAGCACCAGCATCAGCGCATCAGCATCAGCATCAGCATAAGCATCAGCATCAGCATCAGCATCAGCATCAGCATCAGCGCATCAGCATCAGCATCAGCATCAGCATCAGCATCGACATCTTCGTTACACACGATTGGGTGGGCTTCTGAGAGGAGCTTCACAGCATCCACATCACAAACACCGCACACAACACTCCCACGTTCTCATCATCCTTCCTACCCCACCCACCCGCCCCTGCCAAACCCCCGTCCAACCCCAACCCCCCCCGCCCTCTACCTTCCACCCCACCTGTTGCGACACCAGCACGGCCATGCGCGGGTGCGTCTCCGACTTTTGAGGCGCCGCAAACCTTATCCGAGGCCATGAGGTGCACCTTCGATTCTACCTCTCCGCGCCCAGCTCTCCGGCTTTTGCAGTATTCACGTCACCCCTTCCCCCACTACCCCCCCCCCCCTTCCCCCTCCCTCCCAACCCTCCCCCACCGCACCTGCTGCGACACGAGCACGGCCATACGCCCGCTCCACTACCCCCCACTCCCCTACCACCTTCGCTTCCATCCCCACCTGCTGCGACACCAGCACGGCCATGCGCAGGCGCTTGTCCTGTGCCATGACGTGCACCTTGGACCTCTCCGCGCCCAGCTCCAAGCCCAGCGCTGCAAAGTCCTCCTGCATCTGCTGCCGCGGCCACCTCGCCGGGTCAAACGAGAACTCACTGCTCAGGGAGGATTGAGGGAGTGGGGGAGATGGGGGACAAGGGAAGGGGGAGTGGGGGAATGGGGAGCGGAGGGGATGTAGGGGTAGGACGTGGGGGAGGAGCGCGAGGGATGACTGGTGGGGGATGACTGAATAGGAAAGAAAGGGAATCCTGCAGGAGTGTACGACAAACAAACATTACAACCTACCTGAACAAGCACCTGCAGGTTGCCTGCAGGCCTATCATACGCGTTACAAGGCACCTGCGGGAGTAGAAGATGGGCGTGGGCGCCTCAAAGTCGATGTGCAGATCCACGTTGAGCAGATTCGCGTGCCTCGACGCCACGCACTCCGATATGCGCGCCACAATTCCCAGCCGGTCCTGCCATGCCAACAGGTTAAGACATCCAAGTGAAGGGCGTTAGAGAGCACGATTTTCCTCCTATGATGGGACATCCCGAAAGCAATGGCGGAAAGAGATGCAGGAGAAGGATTCAGAAAGACGAGAAACCGCGGAGATGTTGGGAATAGGCGTGCTTCTGAGTCTCAAAGGAAACACCAACAGAGCTGGGCAGCGGCTCGTCGATGCCATGACTTCCGATCGTTCTGCGGAGGCATGCATGCGTTGCGCCTTGCATGCATGACGATCACCTTGCATTGAAACACGTGCACGCCGTGCGACCGCTGCCTGCTCGCTCCTGGTTCCACAGCCACCGCATTTCCCGCCGCCGCCTCTCCGCGTCTCCCTACTGTCCCCGCGCCCAGTCCGCCGCCGGCCCCCGCGAATTGTGCCGCCTTCAGCGGCAGCGCCTGCCGCTGCAGTCTCTCCGGCGACCAATCTAAGGATGGCGGACTGACAGGTGTAGAGGAATTGGAGTCCTTCGCAGAAGGTGCGGCGGAAGGGACGGACGGGGAATCGAAGTGGCGGGAAGGGATGAATGGGTGGAGAGGGGAGTTACTAGAGCACAGGCCGAGCCACGGAGTTTGGGTGTGGCGAGCGCGGGCGGAGAGGGCGACAGCGGCAGCCGCTAGTTTGGCCGCCATAACAGAGATGCTGTGCTGCGGGACTGGCCATTCGAAATTTGATAGGTCGGAGTTATCAAGGTAGAGCATTGAGGTTGAGATTCGCTATTGATTCGCGCGGTACCAGACGTGAAAGTTGAGGAAAACGTCGGACGAATATCGCAAGTAATCAGGATCATCTTAAAGGCATGAAAACGCACACCATGTGATCAGCTTAGAAACATAAAACTAGTTAGTACCTCATCAAAAGCCTCCATCCCAATCGCTCCCCTTAATCTATAACTTAGCTTCCTACTATATAAACTATAGGAACCACCTACTTCATCCCTGCTCCCCTGGGAGCAACCCCAACGCCTGCCAACTTCTCCTTCCTATCCGTTCCTGCCGTCATCAGACCGCCATCATGGGAAAACTTCATCCCAGGAGCCAGACTCATGCGCCCACGCCGCGACGCTGCACCTCCAGCAGCACGAACCCTCTGTGCGCCACCACCATATGCCTTCACACCACTTGAGCCCACCGCACTGCTTCCCTTGAGAGCGAGAACGGGTGCAGCTGTTATCACTGCAGCTGATGCCGCTGCTGCAGCTGCTGCAGTGGCTGCTGCAGTGGTTCCTCCAACCCTCGCCCCACTGCCAATGAGGCTGCCACTGCCATGGGCAGCAGGCCTCCTCAGACCAGAGGGAGGAAGGCCATCATGTGCTGCTGTTGCTCCTCCTCCTGCTCCACCAGACAGTGTCTTGTGCAGTGAAGGGATTGCTGATGGCATGGGTGTACTTAGCCCTGACTTCCGCACAGCATGTGGCCTGATAGTGCTGCCATGGCGGAGTGCAAACGGTGCTGTAACCTCGTGCCCTCCAGCAGCAGCAGAAGCGGCAGCAGTCCCAGCAGTGAACACGCGGTAAGGCTGATGCGGCACCAGCTGCTGCTGACGAGTTCCCTGCTCCTCCTCCTCAGCCTTCTTCTCACCACGCGTGTCCACTACCTCACCGTCACACGCCGCACTCATCTTATCTCCTTCAGCTTCTGCAGCAGCGCTGCCAGTCGGATTGCGCTTCAACCCCTTGGTCACATCAGCAGACTGCCTCCTCCACTCATCATACCACTCGCGCCCAACCACCACCTTGTTCACTCGCAACCCAGCCAGCGGGGGCCTACCAGGCTTCCGGGTTTTCACCGCCCCTACCGCATCCAGCTCCGTTCCAGAGGTCCTTTGGTCGCCATCCATCCCAGCTCCTGGTTCCTCTAGCCGCTCCAGCCTTTCTCCAATCTCCAACCCAACAGCATCAGTCGCAGTGGCCCTCCGCAGCATCATCTTCTTGGCAGCGGGTGCATAACCCAGCATAGCATAGTCATCCCATGCTTCACGTCTCCTCTCCGCCTTACCACCGGCCCCCCACGCCCCTCCAGTGCGGCTTCCTGGAAGCACAGACAGGGACATCCTTCCAGTCCTCTTGCGAGCCACACGCACAGCTTCCGCCGCTTCTGCTACTGCAGCAGAGACAGCACCAGCAGCAGCACCAGCAGAAGCGGCAGCAACAGAAACACCAGTTTCCGCAGAGCAAGACGCAGTTCGAGAAGGAATCTTGCTCCCGAGCAGCCTTGCTGTGGCCTTGGAAACCCCAGAAGCTGTCACTGGCACAATCGCCGTCTGAGAAGATGCCCCTGCTGCAGCGGAGGTTGCTGCAGGAATCCTAGCCGGGACTCTGCCTGGCCCAGCGACCCGTTTCTCAGAAGCACCAGTGGCAGCACCTGCTCCACCCTTCACAGCATCTGCAGTCTGAGAGGCGGATCTATCACCAGCCTGCTTCAGGGCCACCCCACCCTTCTCCCCATCAGCCACTGCAGACTCAGACGCAGCAGCTTCTGCAAGCTTCTCTGGATGAGGGCCAGAGACCTCTTCCATACCGGCATCATCAGCTGCAGCAGCAGCAGAAGCAGAAGACGCAGTAGCAGCGACAACAGAAGCACTGACTTCCCCTGCATCACTGGTCTGCTCCAGGCTTGCCTCACAGTGGGGCTCGTGCTCAGCCTTCTCCTCCTCTGCATGTGTCCCAAACGAAGACACCTGAAGTGAGTCTGCCGAGACTGAAGGCTGTTTGGAAGAGCCTGCCTTGATCTGCTGCTGCTGCTGCTGCTGCTGCTGCTGCGCCTGTTGCAGTGCACGCGCCTTCTCCTTCTCCAGAGCATCCATTAAGTCCTGATATTCCTTCTGGCGCTCCTGGATCTGTTTGGGCGCACCAATAGATAGAAAAAACACTTGCACATAATAGCAATGGTTGGACTGGATAGTCGCTCAGCAGGACTCCAAAGTCAAACAGAACTATCCGTTTGTACAGCTTCTTTTCTTAAACAGGCAAAGGCAATCTACTGACCTGCATCTGCAGCTCCGAGACAAGCTTCTCCTTCTCTGTGGCTGTCTTGCGCCTCACTTCCTCCAGCTCCTCGCTTTGCTTCTGGTACGCCTCCTTCACCTCCTTGCAGTCCGTCTTGGCCTTCTCCAGCTGTTGGACGATTCACCAGGGAAAACACAGCCAAGGAGATGAGTAAAGAAGTTCACACATGTGCAAGGAGGTGACGCAAAGCAACCCGAGAAGGCGAGCTACATTAGAAAACTCGAGCTGGACGAGAGCAACACCAAGAGCACATACCGCTTGCTTCAGTCGGGGAACGTCGGTCTGCTTCTTGCTAGAGCCAAAGTCCACCCCGCGCACCCGGCAGGCGAACTGCAGCGAGCACACGGTCTCCACGCTGTCCTTGTCACTCGGGCTGACCTGCACGAACATGAGCACCTTAGCGTTCCCTTCCAGTGAGTCCTGCAGCAGCATCGTCAGCTTGCAGTTCCTGCCACACAAACAGATCAAGGAACATCATGTCAGCGCTTTTTCGATTTTATTTTTTCGAACTCTTGGACAACAGCAGGAACATGACACCCAAGTCTCAGCTGACTCTTAGGCAGATTCCAAATAACGGCAATGCACACCACAGCTTCCAAAGAGCAGTAGCTGACCTGAAGTTGACAAAGCTGGCGCGTTTAGCGAGGGCGTTGATGACCTCTCCCAGGTATGAGAGCGACAGGTTGATGTTCTGCGCCTCCTTAAGCCGCTCGCCCTCTGCCTCGCTCTTGGCCACGCGCTCGCTGCCCGCCAGGTCCACCAGCCACAGGCGACTCACTGTCCCCGCACTCGCACTCGCACCCGAGGCTCCTGCTCCCTCCTTCTCTTTGCTGGACCGCAGGAACGCCGCTGGCTGGGCGTGCACGGACACACAGACGAGGCTGCAAGCGACACAAGCAGTAGGCAGCAGCAGGCAGCAATTAGCCACATTCAAGGGATGTTTCGCGCACCAGTGGATAAGGAAACTCAGACAGAAAGAGGCTGGCTGGCAGGTGGAGAGGCACGCACCAGTGAGATCGGCTGGAGTGCTCGTTCATGCTGGTGGCGCTGGTGGCACGCGCCTTGGAGCCGGACGTGAGCACCTTCCATGCCTCCTCCACGCTCCCCACCTCCTGCTCCACCAACCCAGGCACGTAGTTTCCACCCTCTGGCCTCTGCTTCACCTCCAGACCCCTGACCAAACAAAACACAGCAGAAGAGCAGCGGGTTAGTTTCTTCAGCGACGGCATTTGCAACCCATTTACGGAGGAAAAAAAGCCCTCTTACTTCTTGCTGTTGGTTGCAGCGTGTCCGCCAGTTGGAGCGAGGAGGTCGCGAATGGTGTCGTTGTAGACCTCCAGCACACTCACCACGATCCTGCCACCAACAGACCATACCAAGAAAAGCAATTGAAGGAAGCCACCACACGAAAACAGAGAGAACTCATTAGCTCGATCAGAGTGATAGCTTCTATTCCACGAGGAAACAAAAAATTGCACTCGCAAAATCAAAATTCATGTACGCTGCTAACCCCTTCCCCATCAAATTCCTCGCGTACTTGTACTCCATGCTGTCACGTCGCTCCTTAGCCAGTCGGAACAGCTCCTGCAGCGTACGGAACGACACGCCCCTGTTCTCCGCGGGGCCCTCCATCGTGTACGTCTTGCCCGTTCCCGTCTGCCCGTACGCGAAGATGCACACGTTGTACCCGTCAAGAACCGACGTGATGACGTCAGCCGCCTCCTTGAACACTTGAGCTGTTACACACAACCACGACAAGGTACATACAAACGCACATCGGCATCAGACACGACTCTCGCTCCAATAACCATCAATCCATAAAATCATGAAGCCAGAAAACGGGAACGCAGATTTTTACCTTGACTGGTGGTCGGAGAGAAGACCCGGTCAAACTCGAACACCTTGCTCTGTCCGTCCTTGGCTGACCGCACCGAAACCATCTGGCTGCCATGAGGATCTGAATCAAGCAGCACCGCTGGCTGAGCACCAAACTTTTCCTCTACCTCTGACAGCGGCCTCGCGCGGCAGAACACACGGATGCTTCCTGCACAAATTGGACGACAATGGAGAAATTATTTGAATAACGGGCCGCACTGAACGATTTTGTACGATATTGAATGACTTCAAACGACAGTACCACAAAGCAAGGTGAACGAGTGCAGTGCAGGGGGGACAGAGTACCTTTAAGGTCGATCAGGTCGTTCTGTAGCTTCTTCCGCTTCTCTGCCTCTTGGAAAAACCTCTTCCTGATGGCCTCTTTCTCTTCCTCTGCAACCAATCACCAGAGCAAAGCAACAACTTCAGTCGTTTCTTTGAAAGTGCAACGGAAGTTCATGAAATCAGTACCGATGGGTGCATACCGATCAAGGAAAGGCTACGGAAGACAGTACTGAAAGACGCGAGATGCTCCTGCTGCGTGATTGCGAGCTCCCTCGCCTGCACTTCCACATGCGCCTTGTCGTCTCGAAGAGCCTGAATTCAGAAAACAGTCGATAGGAATTAAGTTGGATAGTAGTTCATCAATCTGATGCTGCTCTTGATGCAAGAACCTAGTCGGAATATATCCATTACCTGTAGCTCGGACTGCATCCTCACGAGCTTCTGATGCATCTTTTGCTGAAGGCCTTCCAGCTGCTCCTTCAATAAGGTATTCTGACCCTCTGCCATGTGAAAACTGCCAGTTAGCAAGTGTTGATACAATAGTTGGCTTGGCAACGAAATATTGCACGGCAATGAGAGAGGTGCTATTACCTGCGTCAGCTAGCTTGCGACCCTGAGCAGCTAGCTTATCGCGGACGGCCGAGAGTTCGCGTTTCTGCTGCTGCAACAATGATCTGACATTTGAGGTCTCCGACTTGGCCTTCGACAACTCCTCCTTCGCTCGGCGATTCTTCTCCTTCAACTGATATACCCAGGGCAAGAAAACACTTTATCGACGTCGGGGGACTACGAGTAAGATGTTGGTAAATAAACACAGATGGAAGTACTATAAACACGCTTTCGTTTATACCTCTTCAATCTTGCGGGCCAAATCCATCTTCCTGGCCTCCAACGACTTCTCCAAGTCATCTCTACCGGTGTTCATCTTCTGTACCACGCGTTCAAGCTGCTCCACCTTGTTCCGTAGCTTCTCGTTCAACTCCCGCTCTTTAGCCAGCTCATCTTGCAGCCGCTGATCCGCAATCCATTTCTCTGCGAAGTTGATGAAAATCACGCAAAAAAGCAAAACGATGTTGAAAAGAAAGACGTTAGACCTCAGGCTTGATTAGAAATCCAGGTTCAGAGGTTGTAAAAAAATCATCACTTGACGCATCAGTGCAGCTGTACCTGTATTGAAGTTTACTGGATCATCTTGATCTTCAACAGTCTGATTATCATCCTTCGTAGAATCCACCCAAGCAGCAACGTTCGCGAGTTCCTTGACATCTGCTTTCAGGCAACCTTCTGATTCATCCTCTGCTTCCTCTGAGGAGGCACCGTCACAGCTTTGATAGTCCGAGATTGTCGACGGTCTATCTCGAGTATCAAGCTCTGTGTCTTCAGCTTCATCATCTTCTTTCTTCGTATCCTCATCAACAGGCAGGAGCAATACACCCTTGGCTCCCCCAAGTGGGCTCGTCATGGCACGGTGTGACTGCAAATCCTCCTTGACACGATTGGCGACTGGCGACGAATGCTCTGCTACGGGCTGTTTTAAACCGGCCGTTGCTGGTGCTTCATTTTCGGAATCGTCAGCGGAGATGCTGGCAACTTCCGTCCTAATGGAAGACTGGTTTGAGTCAACGCAGGTTGACTCAGGAGCTTTGATCCCTACTTCAGTCTGACTAGCTGTGAAACTGTTGGTTTCGCTTTCTACCGGTGGCATCGGAGAAGGGTTACTGGCCTCCAAACTTATGCTGTTATCCGGAATCTCCTCCTTGGTATTCTGCCTCACGACCTCAGATGATTCTTCTGCTAGACTCCCCTCACTAATCTGGCATGCGGTTGCTGCCTGACTAGCCTTAATCTCCTTTCCGTCTTCCAATGCCATGACCTATGTGCACGCTGAGGACAACTATAATTTGTCCAGCAACGATATGGTGCTGTAAAAAAATCTAAGGTAGAGTTTGTTTCAGTCGGACGGCCTTTGCGATGGAGTTCAATGTCAGTTGATGGATTGCCAGAAAGAGAAAAGTTTTTCCCTCACAAGAACCAACAGCAAGACGAAAGCTAATTCAGAATCAATGAAGAGGCACCGCTGCAGCAATGATCCCCTCCCCTTCTTGGTTCAGCTGGGTGTGTCTCACTGCAAATTCGAAGACTGGTGCTCTCAGCTTCATTCCTTGTTTCTTCCTGTCATCCTATCTCGCTGATCTCAACGAGCCGCATTCGCTCCTGCCTGCTATCCTGTACCCAAGATTTCCCGCCTGTAACATTCTCATGCAAAATTGGCAGAGGTGTCTGAGCAGTGGAAGTTTGAATTCTGCGCGGGAACAGTCAGAGCCAGAAGCTCCGATACAGCACCTCGGTTGTGGAAACTGAGACCTTACAGAGTCGGATATACATCCTAAGGCAGGAAAAGCAGTATACCTTTCATATATGCATTAGCCAGCACTTCCTATTTATACATCTCACATGCATAGATAAGTGCTTACATATAAAGATCATTATTTTTATAAATACATAACATGTCATTACTAAAGTATCAATACTGGTCAATCATTATTAGAGAATTTATTCCGCATTGGAGAGAAGAACGGAGTGCTACTAGTTAAATTAATTTCTAATGCCGCTCACCATAACGGAAAGACTGTTTACGAGGATTTGTGCGACAAGGCGAGCCCATCGCACAACCAAGATCAGTTGTTTTCAGGTGAGCTTCCAGCACTCACATCTCCTGAAACCGTTCCATCATTGTGACGACATTCCGAAGTGTTTGTTCTCCTCTCTCCCTGCCGAACTTCACGCCCACAGCCTCTTTGCTGTTTAGTTGCGACGTTGTGCATTGTAGCGTCGTGCGCCCACAATGACGGGTGTCGGATACGCCGGCTCAGGCGGTCAACAACCATTAGCACGAAATCAAGCCCCTCAGAAGCCGTTGTACAACAAGGAGAGACCTGATGAACACGCGAAATACCTCAAGAAGCATCACCATGATGAACAGGCCACAAGTGAGCGTCTATCCGTCCACCTTGATTGCTCTCTGGAGACTGGATGTTTCCGATAAGTTTGACAAGGAACTTCGCCCGTCTCTCTCTCTCTCTTACTCTTTTCTAGGCAGTTCTTTATCCCCCAACTCGCTGCTCCACTGTTACATCTTCAAACTCATTTTTTGAGGGAGTCAAGGTCATACTTTTTCCTCTCACTTCCCTCGTCGTTCCTAAATCCGTTGCAGCTACACCACTGAGCCTCGTGGTTGGCCCATCCGTTCCTGTTGGAGATCATGCTTCGGACTCACAATCAGCCGACGTGCAGCATGGCAAAGCTTCCCATAATCACCACAGTGGTAGCCACATTCACAGTCTTCAAGCCCCAGTGCAGCGTCCAGACCATATTGTTCCCATAGTGGGCCCACATTAATAAACATTGTTTCGTTTCGTCACTTTCTCAGCGCGCTCTTTATTGTTAACTCTCTCTATTGGTACCTCTACCCTTATCTCCCCAACTTCCTACCATACGTTCTTTACCCCACCTTCCTTGGATACTCTACCATCCCCTCGAATGCCCCCACCCTTCATCCCTGTTTCTTCCACCATCTCTTCCCTGTGTGTCCCTGTGTCCTTATCTGTAACCCCCGTTCTCCAGTAGCGTTGTTTGTTGCCCCCCTGCTGTTCACACTCCTCCAATGCTGATGCAACAGCACCAGCTGTACTAGTCTTAATAAACATAGCAAATCGGAAATGCACCAGGGACTTTAGTGGCTTTCACTGAATGGTCCTTGTTGATGCATACATGAAGTGAGATAAACTTGTACTGTATGCGTTCTATCTGGTGCAAGTGTAGTGAATAACGTTTGATTATGTCACTTCGAAGTCTCCGAGCGAAACCTAGCGAAAAGTCAAATAACAAATCTGGATATGACGTTATATTACGTGGCAGATCGCAAATGTTCCGCTGAACAAGCCGAGCCAGCTGGTAAACCAGCTTGCACTTGTTTCATTTCGTGAAGTCGAGTTTTAGCGAACTCGTGATATGTATTACACTGCGCAAGCCATCCCGATTCCTGATTCCCGAAGTCATTCCGCCGTCGCCTGAACAAAAGTCGGACTCTGCAGCTTCACAACGCAACGCAATGCACCCTCTTTCTCGCCATTGTGAATTCGGTTATAATGAAGTCAAGATGGTAAAAGCACGGTTAACGGTGGTTAAATCACGTTTCGATATGGTTCAATCAGGCAAATCGAAGATAACAAGGTTTTCCACCTGTTCGGCACAGTTCAGTGCAACGCAACACACTCGATTGGCTATCCGCCATTCCTCCCCTTCCGCGACTTTCTTCCTCCGCGCATCCAGCAGTGCTGCATTCTCTTTCCCACAAAGCCGCCGAGCCGCTAGGTAGCTGAAGCTGGTTCGTCGAACCCACATTCTTCGCGTGCTTGCCACTCCTTCGCCAGGACCTAGAGCGGACCTCCGTTGCGCCGGCGCCAGCGCCAAGTCCACCCTTCCCCCCTCCCTCTCCCCCTTCCACCCATCCAAGCAATCAGCCAATCCCATTCCTTCGCATTATATCTCAGTACGCTTGGCTGGTGCTGTACCAGCCATCCTACCGCCAGTTGCGGCGGACATCGGATACAAAGGGAACGCGTTTCTTGATTCCATCCTTCCCATTCCATTGGCTCACGCCACTGAGTCGGGCGGCGCCCTTGTACGTTCAGCGAAATTCATCGTTTCATCTATCCTTGAGTTCCCCCCACATGACTTGCTGCCTTCTTTACTGAACAGAAGCACCCAGGCCAGTCCAGAGACGCGATATTTCACGAGAAATGGATGCAGTCAAGCACGCAATGTGTCAACGTGGCAAGTTACTACTGCAGGCGACCTAAACTTGCGACTCTTCTGAAGGAAGGCGGCTGCGTTCTTCTTTATCCGTGTGTAGCGCAAGGCTGCCGGATTTTTCTGACCTTGTGTGCTTTTATGGATGTGCTGCAGCATTCTCGCATCACATGGGATAACAACAGAACTCCTTGCGCCCCCGTTTAGCCTCATCCCCCACATATCACTGTCCCACATTCGCATTCATCCTGATGCTTGCTCTTCCTTCGAGGCATCTATCCGATCCCTTTCCTACGCCACACGAGAATTTAGCTCATATAATCGCGTAGACGGTATCTTATTCAATTCCTTCGAAAACCGCAGATGACTACTACAAGCCGGACTAAAAGCGCTAGTGAGCGACTGTATCCGTACGGACTTCTACCTGACGGTTCAACATAACGCCCTTCAGAGCTGACCCGATTTCCAGTTATCTAATGCGCGCAGTCCCAATCGTCACAACTAAAACCGCCCACCGCTGCTCGTTGCATTGCTAATTTATCTATCTCCAAGCCACGGACGGATTCTTCATCGCCATATCACCGTCCTGTGAGCCCGAGCACGTGCGGCGCGAGTGAGCCCGTTTTAGGCGCGAGTGAGCCCGTTTTAGGCGCGAGTGAGCCCGTTTTAGGCGCGAGTGAGCCCGTTTTAGGCGCGAGTGAGCCCGTTTTAGGCGCGAGTGAGCCCGTTTTAGGCGCGAGTGAGCCCGTTTGGCGGCACTGAATGCACGCGGCGCCAAATGCCATCCGCCGTGTGTTGCGCGCTGCGCTCGCGCTGGACTTGACATCTCATTGTACCGCCTACTGGGCTTGCAATGGCGGCCACAAACCACCGTTTTGCTCCCTACATTCTGAACCTTTAGGAATCGGGAGACATCGGCTACTACGCTAATAATTTCCGAAATCCTGCAGCAAAAAGGCCTAGATTTCCGGTGGAAACACGCAGCAGGAGACGCGAGCGGGGGAACTAGGCAACCATTTCAACAAGCTACAGCTAAGAACTGCCGGTGCTGCGATCCCCACTGCTAGCAATGGCGGATGTGCGCGTCTCCCGCAACCGCGACAGCGACCATGGACGGGCTGCCGTCGCGGAATCCGCGCATGACACGTCCGCGGCTATTCCGCGTCAAGACCATCACGCTGCCGCGCATCATCGTCAGTGCGAAAGGCCATTCGACCAGCGTCAGGTGCCGCACGCGCTGCCGCAACAGCCCCCGCAGACGTTCCACCAGCAGCAGCAGCAGCAGCAGCAGCAGCAGCCGCAGCCGCAGCAGCAGGAGCAGCAGCAGAAGGAGGAACACGCAGGCTTCGGTTTTCGCCCATGTGGACCCCAGCCGCCGCCGGCGCCGCCGCTGACGGTCGCAGCGACTGCGACGGCCAGGAGCGCTTTGGACGTAGCGACAGGCCCCGCAGCAGTCGGAGGACTGACTTCAAGTGGCGAGATTTGCGCCTCGGCCTCTCTCAGGCTGCCCCGGAATCTGCCCGCTCCCCCGTTCGCCACAATCCCCTCCGCCTCATCCATCTCCTTCTCCGCTTCTCAGGACAAACCACTCGCATTGCGCCTCCCTGCCGGCGCCCCCGGCACCGCCGCCGCATATCCCCGCGCTGCGGCCGCCACGGGCGCTTCTGTCGCGGCTCCGTCATGCACGCCTTCGATATACTCGTCAAGCAACTCGTCTCCCTCCGCGTCGCTCCCGCTCTCCACACCCACTCCCGTCGCGGTCCCCCCCGTTTCCTCCCCCCCGCCGCACCCGTCCGCCGTCGAGTCCGCCGTCGCGCCCTCCGGAGGAACATCTATTTGCGCCATTTCCCGCCAGCGCCTCTCCCGCTGCGCCGACGGAACATCCGCGAGAGGTTCCGCCAGCGGCGCAGGCGTCAGCGATGGCGGCGGCGGTGCAGCGCCGGCGAATCGTTCAGCGTCGTTCTCGTCGGCCAGTGCTGGGTCGCTGACCGTCGCAGGGACGCATGCGACGCACGCGACTCAGGCGACTCATGCGCACGCGAACGCTGGGGGAGCGCTGGAAGAACCAACCACTGCTGCTACAACCGGCGGAGCTGCTACAGCCGGCGCAGGTGCTACAGCCGGTGCAGCCAGCGGAGCCGGTGCAGCGGTTACAGCGGACGCGTGTGGCAGCGGCACTGCTTCTGCTGCCGCCCAGGCGTCAGGTGCTGCCGCCCACGCACCAGGAGCTGCAGCGACTGCTGGTGACTCAGCTCCATCGAGTGGCCCCAAACGTCTCACCCAGCATGCTCCCTCCTCCACCCACCAAATGCGACTCGTCCTGCCCTCTCTCACGCTCCCAACAACCCATCCCTCTTCTGCTCCTCCGTCCTCTCCTCCTCATCCACTTCCCCCTCCTACTCCAACTCCTCCTACGCCTACTACTCAAGTTCCTGCTGCTGCTGCTGCTGCTGCCGCCGCCGCCCCTTCCCCCTCGGCACACCCGCTGCTCTCCGCCTCGTTCTCCTCCTCCTGCTCTCGCCCTCTGCGTCTTCCGCCTGGCCTCTGCTTCTCCCCCACCAAATCCGCCTCCGCTGCGCCGCATGCCTCGCCTGCAGTGCTTTCGAGCTCGCTGGGCGCTCCCACCCCAACGCATCCCGGAGCCGTTGCTGCTTTTGAGGCGCCTCAAAAGTCGCTAGGAGATTCCATCCCAACGCATCCCGGAGGCGCTGCTGCTGCTGCAGCAACGGCAGAAGCAGCAGGTGGAGAGGGAGGAGATGCGATGGGAACGGCGAGAGGGAGCGTGAACGGGACTATCAACGAGCTGGAAGAGCCAGCAGCCGTTGCACTCAGGGTAGCAGCGACAGCAGCACCGGTACCAGCAGCAGCAGCAGCAGCAGCAGGGGATGGAAGCTTCCCTGATCTAGATGCACCAACAGCAGCGGAGAGCGGCGGCGGCGGCGGCGGAGGTGGTGGTGGTGGTGGTTGTGGAGAGAAGATAGCCGGTGCAAATGTGGAGCACAGGGGGAGAGGAAGCGAAGGGAATGCTGGTGAGACGCCTGGCACGACTGACGGCGCACCTGTTCCGACAGAGCCAGAGGGAGAAACGGCAGGACCCCACAGGGAGGGCGTGCCCGTGGACGCAAGGCCAAGGCCAAGGCCAGTGACTGAGACACACCATGATGGTGCGACTGCAGGTAAAGGCGGCGGACGAGGCGGAGGGGGGGGCGGGGGCGGAGGGGGGGGAAGAGGGAGGGGCGGGAAGCAGCAGAACAAGGAGGTGAGATCGGCGCGGGTGAAAGCGGAGGTGGTGGAGGAGGAAGGAGGGGGGGACGGGCCGCTGGGGCCGGTGGGGAAGCAAGGGGAGGTGGCAGGAGGGGGTAGAGGCAGCAAGAGTAGAAGTCGCAAGGGAAAGGCGAGTGCTGCTGGCGCTGGTGCTGCTGATGCTGGTGGTGATGCCGCCACTGCTGATGCTGCAGCGGAGCAGCAACAACAGCAGGTGGAGGCAGCAGCAGGAGGGAGTGGCAGCGGGAGAGGCGGGAGAGGCATCAACGTGGGGATACGGCGGCGATCAGCCAAGAGCAAGGCGCATGGAGGTGGAAAGGGAGGCGCTGGTGGTGCCAATGGTGGTGCCAATGGTGGTGCTGATGGTGATGAGAGTTGCTTGGAAGCGAAAGGAGGAGGCGGTGCGAAGCAGGGGCAGCGGGGGAAAGGCAGGAAGGGAAAGGCGAAGGCTGCTGCGGACGAGCAGCAGAGGAACGAGGGAACAGAAGGGGACGATTCAAAGGAGCAGGCAGAGGAGGCGGGGGAGGGAGGTGGTAAACGCTCGGCGGCAGGAAAATCGGGCCGGAAAGGAGGAGGCTCAGCTGCTGACGCTCGCAGCAGGGACGCTCGTGCTGCCGCTGCTGCTGCTGCGGTTGCCGCTGTTGCTGCTGCTGCTAAGAATAAGAATGTTGGCGGCAGTGCGACCACAAGCGGGGACCACGATTATCACTGCGACGACGACGACGAGGTGGGGAACGGCGAGGAGGAGAACGATGGAAAGGAGGAGAACGAGGAGAATGAGGAGGAGGACGAAGACGCGTTGGGGCGCATGACCCAGGAGCAGATCGAGGCTCTAGAGGTGCGCTTTCAGCAGAACCGGCGGCTGGATACAGCAAGGAAGCTGGTGCTAGCGGGGGAGATCGGCGTGCGGCCGCGGCAGGTGTCTGTGTGGTTTCAAAACCGGCGCGCGCGGTGGCGGCAGAAGAAGAAGGAGAGTGATTTGAGTGCGATGCAGAGGGAGTATGCGCGGTTGAAGGTGGCGCGGGAGCAGCTGGGGGAGGACTATGAGCTGCTGAAGAAGGACTATGAGGACCTGCTGCTGCATAATGCTGCGCTGCATGATAAGGTGAGGGGTGGGGTGCGGTGGGGTGGTGTGGGATCGGGTATGGTGTGGTGGGGCGTTGTGGTGTGGTGTTGGGTGAGGTGGTGTGCGATGGGGTGGGGTGGCGATTGAAGGTGGCGCGGGAGCAGCTGGGGGAGGACTATGAGCTGCTGAAGAAAGACTATGAGGACCTGCTGCTGCACAACGCCGCGCTGCATGATAAGGTGTGCGGTGGGATGGGGTGGGGTGGGGTTGGGATGGGGTGCGGTGGCCTGGGGGTGGGATGGGATGGGTTGCGATGGGATGGTTTGGGGGTGGTGTGGGGATGTTGTGGTTTCAGCCCTTCGACACTGATCCAGTGGTCAAGTCACCTAATTCAGTCGCCTTAGTTTATTTTACCAGAGCTGACCCCTTCCATCCCTCCCCTCCTTCCCATCTCTCCCCCCTCCTCCTCGCAGGTGGACGACCTGATGGCGCATCTGGTGCAGCACGGCACGGCATGCTATCCTTGTTAAGTCGACTCAAGAGTCAGCTCTCCCCCCTCCCTTTGCTCCTCTCAGGTGGACGATCTGATGGCGCACCTAGTGCAGCATGGCATGCTATCCGCCTCCACCTCCTCCTGCCTGCGAGACGCTCTCCTCACAGCCGGCCCCCTCTCTCCCGCCAACACCACCACCAGCCCCCTACCTCTCCCCAGCGACGCCGCCACCACCCTGCCTGCCGCCGAGCCTAGCGCGCAGGCCTGGGCGGCCGCCACAGCTGCTGGCTCGGCAGCCACCTTGGGGGTGGGTGGTAGGGGCGCCCCGTCCCCCTCTGCTGCTGCTTCTGCTGTGGCGTATGGTGCCGGTGGCGGCATGTGGGGAATGGGAGGGGTAGGAGGAGGAGCAGACGGAGAAGAAGGAGGGATAGGAGGAGGAGTGGGAGGAGAGGAGTGGGTAAGCTCCGGAGGTATTTCCGGCATGATAGCAGATGCTGCTACAGCAGCAGCAAGCACAGGCACGGGTGCAGCGAGCGCCGCGACAGCCGCCGCATCAGCCGCAGCCTCCGCGGCCGCATCAGCAGCAGCATCAGCAGGAGGCTGCAGCTTTTCCGAGCAGCCAGCAAGTGCATTCTTCCCACAGCCTCCAGACATGCTCTTCGACTCCTGCCTGCCACTACCCCTGCCTCCAGAACTCGACCCAGACCTTTTCAACCCCTGCCCGCCCACCAGCCCCGGCAGCAGCAACCACCACCTAGCCTACCCGTGCAGATGTAGTCCTACGAGTGGTGCTGCTGGTGGGTCGGCTGCTGGTGGTGGTGGGTATGGGTCAGCACTGGGTGGGTACCCTACAGCAACGTCTCTCTCGTCGTCTCCTGCGTTCAGTGTTGCTGCTGCTGCTGGGTGGTGTAGCGAGTCGTATGGGGATCACAGCAGGGAGCGTGGCGATCGAGTGAACCTGCTTTCGGGTTCGGTTGCTGCTGGCTCTGCTGCTCGTTCAGGTGCTGCTGCTTCTGGTGCTGCTTCTGCTGCTGCCTCTGCTGCGGCCTCTGCTGCTACCTCTGGTGCTGCCTCCTGTGCGATTCGGGCAGGCGAGGAGGATGGGAAGGGGTGGGAACGAGGAGGAGGGGGAGGTGCGAGAACACAGCAAAGGGGAGGAGGAGCAAGTTTTCTTGCTCAGTCTCCTCACTCTGCCGACGCTGTGGCTGCTGCTGACGCTGCTGCCGCTGCTGCCGCTGCTGGTGCCTCTCTTGAGGCACCCGCAGTTGCAGCTTCAAATGCTGCTCCTACAGAAGCAGCAAGGAACATCGGTTCTGACAGCCTTCCCCTCCCTCAACCGTCCTCCCAAAGCCAGCCTCTCCCTCTCCATTGCCCGCGCATGCTATCTGTACCTGCTGCTCTTCTCCCTGCTGCACACCCGACCGTGCCTCCCTCTCCCACTCCATATTCCACCCTGAATGCGATTGCACACGTTCGAAGCACCCCACAGGCTCGTTTCCGAGGCAATCCTAGGATCCAGTCTCGGGAAGGCGGAAGAGGAGGAGGAGGAGGCGGAGGAGGAGGAGGAGGAGGAGGAGGAGGAGGAGGAGGAGGAGGAGGAGGAGGAGGAGGAGGAGGAGGAGGAGGAGGAGGAGGAGGAGGAGGAGGAGGAGGAGGAGGAGGAGGAGGAGGAGGAGGAGGAGGAGGAGGAGGAGGAGGAGGAGGAGGAGGCGGAGGAGGAGGCGGAGGAGGAGGAGGAGGAGGAGGAGGAGGAGGAGGAGGAGGAGGAGGAGGAGGAGGAGGAGGAGGAGGAGGAGGAGGAGGAGGAGGAGGAGGAGGAGGAGGAGGAGGAGGAGGAGGAGGAGGAGGAGGAGGAGGAGGAGGAGGAGGAGGAGGAGGAGGAGGAGGAGGAGGAGGAGGAGGAGAAGAAGAAGAAGGATCTACTCCCATTCCCAACTATTTCTTCCCGTCAGCGGCAAACTTGGTAGCAGTGACGGGTTCAATGCAGGAGCAACTGGAGCAACTGGGGGGAATGCATGATGGTATCGAGTCAGGGCCTCCTCCAGCTGCAGGATTGGGTGGCGCATGTGAGCCGTACACGCTGCAAGAAGAGGAAGACATGGTTCCAACACAGCGCATGCACCCTCCGTACCAGCGTCGCCAGCAGCACCAGCAGCACCAGCAGTGCCAGCAGCAGCAGCAGCAAATCGTGCAGCACCGCAATGAGCAGCAGGTGTACGAGCAGCAACAGGAGCTGGTGAGTCTGTTCGGGGAGAAGCACGAGGAGGGAGAAGAGCAGCTAGTGCAGGCGGGGCAAGGCGCTGGGTGCGTGCAAAGGCGAGTGCATGAGGAGCAGTGGGCGCGGGGACAAGCGCAGAGGGAGCAGGAGGAGCAGGAGGAGCAGGAGCAGGAGGAGCGGCAGCTGATGCAGGAATGGAGTCAGTGGCAGGAGAGGCACGGGGCGGAGGGGGAGGAGGAGACGCAGTACTGGGATGGGGTGCATGCTCGTGGCATTCATGCACACACTGGCAACATCGATGGTACAGAGGCTGCTGGAAGGATGAGCAATTATCGTGTGCAGATTCGGCAGCAGCAGCAGCAGCAGCAGCATGAGCAGCAGCGGCAGCAGCACGAGAAGCAACGGCAGCAGCAGGTGTTTGCACCTCTGGTGCAGCGCTCTAGCTCTGCACCTTCTCCGCCCACACCTTCCCCACACATCCTATCCTCCAGTGCCAGCCGCAGCAGTGCCACCGGCATCTATAGCACCATGACTGCTGCTGCCGCTTCTGCTGTCGCCGCTGCTGCTGCTGCTGATGATGTTGCAGGGCTTTGCAGCTCGGAGCAAGAACGCAGCGGTGGGTCTGAGGGAGGTACGGAGGGCTCGCAGGGAAAGGAGAGCCTGGGCGGGAGCAGGGAGGGTAGCAACAGTGGTGGTTGTGCTGCTGATATCGTGCCACCGCAAGGAAGCCCCCCTCTCAGCCGTGATATGCAGCTGACTGAAACTGCTTCATTCTGGCCCGCGCCACTGTGTGGCGGGGAGAATGATCCCCACGCAGGGGTAGGAGAAGCGTTTGCTAAATCTGGTGGGGATGCGAGGAGCTCTGTGCGTGATGTGCTTGCGCCCCTTCCCCCCCAGGATGCAGGTTGCCAGCTTGGACATGGGGGGCATCTGGACTTAAACTTGCTGGGTTTTCCTACTCCACCTGCCTCTCCAGGCTTTGATGGGGCAGCCAGGACTGAGATAGAGAACGTGGGTCCTACTCAGGAAGCTGAAGGGATGTCAATGATGCACTGGGCTGACGAGCCTGTTGTTTTTTGAGAGGTTAGATATGGTATTGCGTGTGCGAGGACAGGCTTGTGTTTTTGTGCTTGTTCATATGTGGTTGCTTGAGTTGTGTGTGTTTTCTTTAAGCGCGTTATTGTTTTCCTTGCTTTTCTAGTTCATGTGAACTCCTATTCTCTAAAATGTTATAGTTCTGTTTAGACATCTCTTCCCGTCGAAACTTGTTACAAGCTTCCCAACCGTCTTGGAGAACCAATGTTTCCGTTGGCTCTCGCGACTTCTGCGGGTTTGGTGGATACACCTTGCGGTACGACGGCTGGCGATCGTTGGTGGCGGGAAGGAATTTTTTTGTTTGCGTTCCATTTTCCCTTTGGCCAAACCATGTCTAGCAGGATCGCCTTCACCAGTCGAACAGCGAAGAGCGAAACAAATCACGGGCAGAAAACTAAACAAAACCCCCGTCGCACCGTCGCATGTCCCACGTAAGCACATGAGGAAGGGAGGTGACGGGAGGAAAAATTGCAAATTTCGCAAGTGGTGCGACTCGGCTTGTAATTTGGCGGACATCAGGGCCGCGTCTAGCGCAGCCCCCAGTAGCTCCCCCAAAATCCGTCATGGCTTAGGGTTTGAGGGCTCTTGGACTGGTTGGGTAGTTTTGAGTCTGTTTGATCTCGGTTGGGTGCATTCGCGAGCTGGCGTCGCTCGCAACGCGGCGTGCAAATGCAACAAAATTGAGATGGCTGCGATGGCAGTCGCCATTCATTCCTAACCGTGGCGGCACAGAACCGACCAAATCTCACCCAATCTCACGAGGAAGGAGGAGACGGCCAGAAACTGAACGCTTAGCACAGGGATTCTTCGCTGATTGAGGGGCCTCAGTGTCGCTGCGTCCAATATTCTCAGTGATGCTGCATCGGCATAGGCGCCATCTCATACCTTTCAAAGCTAATTTATCACCAGCGTGAGCAATTCTAACGTGGTGCTACCACCTCAGGTCCAATCAGGGCCAAGTCACTTCTGATGGAACGTCATATTCGGCTCCCTTGTATTCGCTTTCAATAGCTTAGCGACTTTACCTCCTTAGGGTGTGTGAATCTTCGAGTGCTTACCACGCATTCTCGTCAACCCTCTTTGCGACAGAAGGCAAACATAGCGACCCGGATGGCCTAGAATAACGTTTTTTATCATACGAGCAGCGCTTGCTGCCCCTTTGTCCAGTATTCACCTCAACCAGCACCACTTCCTGTCATTTAAGTCCGTCAGTTCCTTTCCTTGCAAAACCATAGCGAACCACACCAGTACCCAGCGTTCTGTCACGTGATTTAACCATGGCGTCATCTAGAGCGTTCTCCCTCTACTCCTCCATCCCCTCAGCCGACGCCGCCCCGTCATGTAGAGTCCACCCGGTCTCGGACGATCCGCCGTCTGCGAGCAAGCAGAAACGTCTCGACTCATGTTGCGGTTCATCGCAAACCCTCCCGGATGATCCGCCGTCCGCCAGCAAGCAGAAGCACCCGCCGCGCCGCAGGAGCATCTTGCGCCGGCTAGGCGCCGCCGTGGATCACGGGATTAACTACGTCTTTAGCGGGCTCGCGCGGGTGGTTGCTTTGCATCCGATTGCTGTGCTGGCGTTGACGATCGGTGTGGGCGTGCTAATGGCGTGCGGGGTGTTCAAGATGACCGTTGAGACCAACCTGGAGGAGCTCTACACGCCGCAGGGCAACGTCGCCTTCCAGAACCGGGTGAGGCTCGGTAACGGTGGGTGTAAATGGGTAGGGACTGGTAAGGTTGAGCCGCGTATTACGGTGGTAAGGTTGTGAATGGTTGGCCATGGGGGCAAGGCACGGCCTTTCTACTCCCATGCATAGGATTTTTGCGCTCCTTCCACGCGCAGGAACACCTATGGTGCGTTTTACACGAGAATACGTGAATCAGTGCGCAACCCATGTACTTCACCACCAGACTAAGGTGTGGTTCAGAGACGAATATCAACATGCCTTCAGAATGCGTGTACGTCAGTTCCCGAGGGAGCGGTATCTCTTCCGAGCAAGTATGTGTTTGCTTGATTGTACTGTAATCCTGTTTTCATCCCTTCTGTTTTCAATCCCGTGTGCGGGCGGGCGCGCAGGACTACGTGGATTCGCTGTACGGCTACGAGGCGCTGGACGTGAAGGTATTCGTGGTGTCCAAGGGCAACTCCAACCGCACGCTGCTCACCAAACCCGCGCTGCTCGCCCTGCTCGACGTTTACGAGCTAATAACGAGGTAATCCAGCGAGTCCGTGCTCGCCACACATAGAGAGAGTTTACGTTCCCGCGTCGTAGCGAGGTCGTGCTGTGCTGTTGCGTTCCTCTGCTTCCGCCTGTAGATTCGTCTTTGCAGATGTTTCTTAAAGCTCTGAGAAGGTCCAAAGTTTACAAACTTGAAGTCACTTTTTCTTAGCAGGATGCTGGTCTGGTTCCGACCAGCTCACACATGCGGTAGCTAATCCCCCCTTAACCTCTCCTAGTCTCTTCACTTCGCTCATCCGCAGGCGAACCCTCACGCCCCCGTCCCTTCCTCCCCCTCCTCTCCCTCTCGACCCCACCCCTCTGCGGGTTTTTTCACCTCAGGGCCCGTTTCCAGCTGTGTTTCCAGCCTGCTGCTTTGCTATATCATGTCCTCCCCCAACCCCTTCCGCCCCCTCCCTCTCGCAGCGTGAACGTGACGTACAACGGGTCGACGTTTAACTACGCGGATCCGCGCATCTGCTACCGGCCGGGCGGGCAGAACACGCCGTGCCAGGTGGTGAGCGTGCTGGACTACTGGGGCTACTCGCGCACGGCCATTCAGCGCGATAAGGACATCATGAAGACCATCAACAACCCCTTCGTGCTCGTACGTCGCCCCTCTGCACTCTACTGAATCTATCTCATATTCACTCAAACGAACGCTGCGGACGTCCTTTACTGCGTCCATCCGCGACCCACCCATCCCGCTTCCCCTTTCCCCCGTCCCTTCACCAGACGCGGTACGGGCAGCCAGTGCCGCAGGACTGGGTGGTGGGCGTTCAGACGAAGAGCGCGGAGTCGGGCGAGATTGCGGAGGCCAAGGCGTTTCTGCTGACGCTGTTCGTGCAGAACAACAAGGGGTGCTCCGGTAGCAGCTGCAAGGACTACCTCGTCGAGGAGTGGCAGAAGGCCATTGACGCGCCCGTCCGCGCGGTGAGCGAGCTGGGGGGGAGTGGAGCTTCGGAGGGGGGGAGCAGCTGGGGTGAGGGATGGTGAGGGCTTCAACTTGTGAGCGTGGTGTGTGTGATGTTAGGTTGCGCCAGCCCCTCCCCCTTGGTAGCAGCTGCAAGGACTACCTGGTCGAGGACTGGCAGAAGGCCATTGACGCGCCCGTCCGCGCGGTGAGCTGAGGAGGAGGGGAGAGCGAAGGGAGGGAGGTGGGTGAAAGGGAGGTCAGGTGTTGACTGGCGTGCGTGGTGTGTGTGTGTGGTCAATCCGGCCCCTCACCCCCGCGCCTCTTCCCCTTCCCCCCCCCCGGTTGCCGACCCTGCTCCTCCCCACTCCCCCGCGGCAGTATTCGAGCGACGAGATCGACGTGTATCTGCTCTCCTACTGGGGCCAGCAAGCGGCGAGCGACAGCGCGCTGACCGCGGACGTGAACCTCTACTTCGTCAGCGCGTTCCTCCTGCTCGCGTACAGCGTGCTCATCCTCTTCCGCCGCCACCCCGTGCACTCGCACTGCTACCTCGCGCTCGTCAACATCGCGTCCGTGACGCTCGCCGTGCTGGGCTCGTACGGGCTCTGCAGCCTGTTTGGGTTGAAGTTTAGCTTGGTTACACAGTCGCTCGCGCTGCTGCTACTGGGGCTGGGTACGGATGACATGCTTGTGACCATGGCGGCGCACGACGAGGTGAGCTGCGGTGGGGAACGGTGGGGAGAGGCGGGGGGGAAGCGGGAGAGGGTGAGAGGAGGCGGGGTAATCAGTTGTTGGGGATATGTTGTTGTTTCCGGTTTCGTCCACCTGTTAGGATCTGGCCAGTACGGTTGTCAATCACTGGTCCGCTTCTCTCCCTGTCTCCCGCCTTCTCCTCCGCTACTTGCATGGACTGCTCACTCTCTCTGCCCCCATTCCCCCGTTCCCCTGACCACCCCGTTCCTTCCGTACCCCCAGACGGCGCGCGACTTCCCGAACGCGTCCGTGGTGGACCGGATCGTCGCGACGGTGTCGCGCGCGCGGCGCGGCGTGATCGTCGCGGCGCTCACCAACTTCGTCGCGTTCTGCACAGGCATAATCTCGGAGCTGCCCGCGCTGCGCGATTTCATGATCTACGCCGCCGTCGGCGTCGTCCTAGTCTTCGTCTTCCAATCCACGCTCTACGTCGCGGCGCTCACGCTCGACCTGCGCCGGCAGCGCGCCAATCGCATCGACACGCTCTGCTGCCTCGTCAGCTCCGCCGGCCCCACCGACGGCTGCTGCGGCCGGCCGTACGATCGGAACAAACCCGGGGTTGATCAGACGGTCATCGGCCACTGGCTTCCCGCGCTGATCCTCCATCCAATCGGAAAGATCTTCGTGGTTTTAGGGACGCTAGGGTTACTCGCGACTGGGATCTACGGCGCGTTGAACGTGACGCAGAACTTCAACATCGACTGGATGGTCCCGGAAGGGACGTACGTGCGTGACGTGTACCGAATCCGATCTCAGACGTTCCCGCTCGCGTCGGGTCAGGGCGCGTTACCTGTGTACGTCTACACGACGAACCCGACGGCGACTTTCACGGCGGTTACCAACACTTCGTCGGGGTCGTCGCGACCCCAGGCGTGGGTCGCGCCGTCGTCCGCGGCGCCGATGGACTATTTTAAGATGCAGGACGAGTTAGCGGCGCTGGGCGTGCGGCTGCAGGCCGACCCGTACGTGTCGTTCTCGCCGCCCGTGCAGTCGTGGTTCGCCAACTACCTCATCTGGCTCTCCGCTTCGCCGCACGCGCCGCTGCTCGACGCCAACGGCCGGTAATAAACGCATGCATGCCTGCATAACTGAGCTGTGTGCCTGCATAACTGAGCTGTGTGCCTGTGTGCCTGTGTGCCTGTGTGCCTGACTGCCAATCGCCATCTTGATCCTCACTCCTTGACACCCACCTTGACTCACTCCTTTAGCCTACCTCCAGCCACGCGAGTTGCCGCCACCACCACATTCTCCTCCCACCTCTCTTCTCCTGCGCTTCCTTCCCATCCCACTCCCGTCTTCCCTCCTCTCTCCACCCATGGCGACCCGTACGAACGATTAGCCGCGCGACTTCTCCTCCTAATCTTCTCCTTTCCTCTCTCTGTCAGTCGCCTCAAATCCCTCCTTCCAGTCCGCCAACGCCCGAGCTCTTGGAGTGCCCGCACGAGTTCCCCGTCTCCTCAATCCCTCTACCTCTCCCTCCTCTCCCCGCAACCCTCGCTCCCCCCCCCCCCTTTCCCCCCCCCACCAGCCCCCCCACGCCCGAGCTCTTCTACGAGTGGCTGCACGAGTTCCTGGGGTCCGTGGGGCGCCGCTTCCGCCTGGACCTGGTGTTCGACGCCAACAACAGCTCGGTGATCCTCTCGTCGCGCTTCTTCGCCATGACGCGCGGGCTCAACAGCAGCGCGCAGCAGGTGGACGCCATGAACTCGATCCGCGCGACTGCCTCTGCCGCCGCGCCCACGCTCTCCGCCTTCGCGTATACCTTCCCGTTCATTTTCGTTGAAGGCTACGCCGTGATTCAGCCCGACACAGTCCTCGCAATCGCCATTGCCGGCGCGGTGGTGTTTGGAATCATGCTGCTGCTGCTCGCGGATCTGACGTGCAGCGTGCTGGTGGCGGTGATGGTGGCGGCGATAGGGGTGGAGCTGGTGGGGTGCTTGTTCTGGTTCGGCCTGGCGTTTAATTCGGTGACGTCCATCACGCTGCTGCTCGCCATTGGGATTGCCGTGGATTACTCGGCCTTCACCGCCTTCTCCTTCCTCTCCCAGGTGGGTTGGTGTGTGCACATCTGTGTGCATGTGTGTGTGGGGGTGTGTGCCTTCACACTACTCTCCCCCTCTTCACATATTACTACTCATTGCTCCTGCGCTCACACGCACTCATCCCCACCATCTTGGCATGGACACCTGGAAACATGCAACCCAGCCTCACCAGCTCGCCAATTCCCCCGTGTTTCCCCTCGTTCCTTTGATTATCGATCGCAGGTGGGCACGCGGCAGGAGAGGGCGAGGAGGGCGCTGAACCACCTGGGAGTGGCGGTGTTCAACGGGGGCTTCTTCATGTTCCTCTCCATCCTCCCGCTCGCCCTCGCCAAGTCGTTCGTCTTCCAAACCTTCTTCAAGGTATGTATACCTCTCTCTCTCTCTCTCTGCGTGTGACCCGCTTCTCCATTTGACAAGTCCCACACGTGACTCGTCCCATACCCACTTTTCCCCTTCATGGTGTCTATGTCCTCCTCCTGGGTCCCACTGTGTGTTTTCCTGTGGTCATCTCTCCACATCAGTCCATGGTTCAACCCATCAATCAGCTTCCCACTCTCATTGCTCTCTTGCTTTGCTCCCGCTCCCACTGGCCCATCACCCATTCCCCCCCTCTCACCCCACCACCCATTCCTCTCTCACCCCACCCTTCTCTGCAGATGTTTTCTATGATTGTGGTGCTTGGTCTATGGCACGGCCTGTGCACTCTACCAGTGCTGCTCTCACTCTTCGGCCCGCCTCCATTTGAAACTTCTGTAGAGGCGCACCAACTGCAGCTACCCGCAGCAACGTCTTCGGCCCGAGTGGCTGATGCTGTCATGCCAGATGAACTGCCAGGTGTTTCTTCAGGTGGGTCTGCTTGCAGCGGCGCCATAATGGTGACTCCGGAGAAGCAGGTTATAAATGCCTCCATGCCCTCAGCAGCACCTGCAGTTGTGATGATGACTTCTCTGTAACGAGGATGCAGCTGAGTGCTGCTCGTGACCTCATAATCGACGGGCGGGGTGGAGGATGTATACTGCCGAATGGCTGCATTGCTGCCAATGAATAAAATCGTCTCGGTGAATCTGTAGATCATGGGTGCATGATTGCACCCGCGGGAGGGACTTGGCTCTTGGCCGCTCACTGACTTCTGACATGCCATGGAGGGAGGTCCATTAGTTAGGATTCGTAGCTCCAAGATATACTCCCTAGGGCATGTGCTACTAGTTAGAAAATGCTTGCTTTCCTCCCTCCCATTGTAATTTCAATATATGTGGTGAATCAAGAAGAATGGTGTATTTGAATGTAAAACCCAATCACCCGCGTATCAAAACCCAAGAAAGTGCCGAATTGAATGGGCGAACGGAGCTTGTCGCTGAAATGAACGGAGCGGAACAGAACGGAACCAGTAGCAGCGATGGGTGACGATGACGACTGCTTGCGGCTGTGGAAGGGAATCCGCTACTCGGGCGAAACGGAATTCCCGAGACAACATAGCCCACATGATCACATGCTTGAAACACAACATATACATGATTCACACACTCCCACCCACACCATTTTCTCTCCTGCAGGGCTTTCTTCCCCAAAACAGGGAGGGAGGTAGCGCCAGTCCTTTCCTTCGCTCGCTTTGTCAACGCCAGTATTGCCCTCCCTTCCCCGTCACATGCGCCCTAACGATTCGTCTTTTCCTCGGCTGCGGATCGTAGATGTTGTTGCACGAAACAGCCATGTTGTCATGATCACTGGCTCTTCCTCCTTGATTCGTATGGCGAGACCGCAAAGTCGGAGTGTTCTTGTGATCCCTACCTGCTGTCTACTGCGCTTTTGTTGCCCTGTCCCGTCGCATGGTTATAGCTGAAGCTCCGAAGAAAGTGTTTATAGTCCTCTATTGCCCACCCATCGCACCCTTCTTGGCGCATCCGATCCGATGGATCCGACGGCATCCATCGCTTTCTGCGAAGCTTCAATTCGCGCCGTAGGTTCTCCTTCCGAGCCTTGCGCAGCGGAACCCCCAAAACCTGCAAGGATTAGCCTCTCCGATCAGCTGTCTGCTGCTGTCTCACCTACTGGGACCCCTACAGATACTACCGCTGCAGAGGCAGAGACATCTACGGAAATCGCTGCAGACACAGAGACGCTTGCAGGGGCCCCTGGAGAGTCGGCAGCGGGAATCACGGGCGCGCACCAGCCCCCGCGTTCATCCACTTCGTACACACCTTTTCCTACTCCCGCTTCGCCCACCGCATCATCAATACACGCCTCCTCGATTGTGGTCGTTTCCCCTCCCGCCGCGTCTCTCACCGCGTCCTCCGTGCCCGCCTCGTCAGCCTTCTCCTCCAATCCCCACTCAGCAGCACCATCCGCCTCCTCGAACTCGCTTTCCGCATGGTCGCCATGGCGCCTCGTCACCTTCTTCACCTCTTTGCGCTCCCCATCCCTTCCGTACGACGTCCGTACCTCCGATCGCCTGCTCGCGCCGCTCCCTCTCCCGCCCGAAACGAAGCAAAACATTTTCGCGCTGCGGCACCCGGTCAGCGGCGCGGTCGTCTACGTCGTCCCCACGACCTTCCTCTCGCGGCAGTCCGAGCAGGACACGTGGCAGGTGATCTCGGCGGTACGGCCTGACGTGGTGGTAGCCCAGGTGTCTCTATATGACCGGCTGCTGCTGATGGAAGGGGAGTTAGGGCGATTGCCAGTCAGAGACGAGCGGAGGGGAGGGGGAGAAAGGGGAGAGATACTGCGCATATGCGACAAAGGAGGAGCGGGGGAGGGAGACGGCTGGGGACAAGGGGGGGCAGACGGGGAAGGGGAAGAGGGAGCAAGGGTTAGAGGCGAAGGAGGTGGGGAAGGAAGGAGTGAAACGAGCCGAGACGAAGGGGGACAGACGGGCAGAAAGAGAATCAGACAAGCAGCAGCAGGAGAAGCAGTACGAGCATCAGCAGACGCAGGAGCTACAACAGCAGCGACAGCTGGGTTAGAGCAGCAGCAGCAGCAGCAGCAGCAGCAGCAGCAGCAGCAGCAGCAGCAGGAGCAGCATCAACGGCAAGTGCAGCAGCAGGTGCAGCAGGGGGGAAAAGGCCAGGTACCAGAGACACCAGCAGGCGTGGTGGCGTGTGCGGCGCTCCAGCACGTGGACAGCGCGAGCATGCGGCGGTGGGGAGTGCAACACGTGATAGAGACGATCTTTGGCGCGCATGTGGCGGGCCCCCTTGCTGCTGCGCGCTGCCTCTCCGCCGCCCATGGGTCTAAGCTTCTGTACCTGGTGGATCCTGGGCTGGGGGGAGGCGGAGAAGGCGCGGGCGGAGTGGGAACAGGGGGAGGGGGAAGGGGAGGGGGAGGGGATGGGAGTGAGGGGGGCGCATGGGAGGGAGTGGGGAGGAAGGGGTCAGGGAAGCGGGTTGGGGTGGGGTGGGGGGGAGGTGGAGGCGGCAGGATGGGAGTGCAGGCACAGCTTTTGCCAGGTGGTGCAGGTGTGGTAGGTACCGAAGGGGGGTGTGAAGGGCAGAATGAGAGGGGTGCGCATGCAGTGGAATGTGGCACTCAGGATTGTGCGTGGCTAGGGAGTGAGGCGGAGAGGAAGGGTTTGGGTGACGGGAAAGGGAGGAGTGTGCAGGTTGTAGCAGTGGATGGAATAGCTGTTGGCAGTGTCTCCCCTAGAAAGATGCCCATTAGTGATGGTTCCCGGGCAAGGGGAAGTAGTAAGAAGGAGCGTGCACGTGCACGTGCGTTCGACCTCTGCCTTTCCAGTCCCCGATCTGCTGTGGCTTCAGAGTTGACTCAAAAGGCAGGAAGAGGGAGTGGTAGCAAGGAGCGTGCGAGTGTGAGTGCAAATGCGAGTGCACGTGCACGTGCACGTGCGTTTGATCTCTGCCTTTCCAGCTCCCGATCTGTTGTGGCTCCGAAGCCTGAGTCAACAACTCAAAACGCAGCAAGGGGGAGCGGCAAGCAACATGCACGAGAGCGAGCGTTTGCTCTGTGCCTCTCTAGAGCCTCGCCTTCTGCTCCTCCTCCTCCCCCCTCTCTGCCCCTGACTCTCCCTCCTCTGCCCGATATCGCGCATCACTTTGCCCTGGCACAATTCGGCCCAAAGGCTCTAGCTCTTCTCCCTCACCCCACTCTGGGTAGCTCTTTTACCACCAGGGATGCCCCGCCAGACGTTGCTGCTACAGCCGCTGCTACAACCTCTGCTGCATCCGAGGCCAGCGTTTCTGGTCCGCCTGATCTTGGCCCAGCAGTAGCAGAGCATGGTGCGGAGGTTGGGAAGGAAAGGCAGGGAGAACAGGGGGAGGGGGAAGAGGTTGCGTGGGGGGACAGAGAGGTGGCGAATGGGGTGCTGGCAGTGCTGTCTACGTACGAACGCGCGTTTGAAGGGATGAAAGGGATGAGGGAGGCTGCGGCCGCTGCCAGGCTGCTGCTGGCTGCTGCTGTGGTGGACGGGAGTGGGGAAGGGGAGAGGCAAGTGCAGGAGGGAGAGGAAAAGAGTGGGAGAGAGGGCGAGGGGACGGGAGAAGGAAGGGTGCGAGAGGAGAGTAGTGGATTCAGGCATAATGCGGCTGTTGGTGGTGTTGGTAGTGCTGCTACTGGTGCTGCTGCTGATTCTGCTTCTGCTGCCGATACCCGTGCTCTTGTTCCTGTGGGCAGGGGAGGTGCAGGTGCAGCAACGTCCTCATCACAAGCAGATTCGTTACTGGCAGAGGCGGTGCTGCATGTGCGGCTGTATGGGCGCCTGGCAGACGTGATTCGTGAGGTGCAGATAGAGGAGGCACAATCAGCCCCTGTGGACCCATCAGAATCTGTCTTCACGCGGCTGCGGCTGATGGCTGGGACGACGGGTGGAGGGGGAAGAGGGGAAGGAGGGACTTTTGAGTCGACTCAAAAGTCGATTCGTGAGCTGCAGATAGAGGAGGCACAATCAGCCCCTGTGGACCCATCAGAATCTGTGCTCACGCGGCTGCGGCAGCTGGATGGGACGATGGGTGGCACGAGGCGGATGGGAAGAGGTGGGGGAGCGGGGGGGGGAGGAGCGGAAGGAGGAAAAGGGAAAGGGGGAGGAGGTGGAGTGGGAGTGCGGGAGAGAAGGATTGAGGAGGTTGAGGAACGAGGGGAGGGGCATGTATTGAGAAGAGAAGGAGAAGGAGAAGAGAGAGGCAGGGCAGAGGCAACCATTGGTGCTGCTGCAGGTAGTGGTGGCAGCAGTGGTACGGCTTACAGTCACACTCGTGCTTCAAACGGGGGAGCTAGAACAGAGTGTGATAGAACTGAGGGCAGCAGCGGTGAGATGGTTATGGCGAGTGCGGCAGCAGCAGCAGCAGCAGCAGCAGGGGATGAAAGTGCCCTCCAGGGGAATGCGCATGAGGCTGAGGGGGCCAGGTTCAGGCGTTTCCTCAGGTGGTTTTGCGGAGACGCTGTGCAGGAGAAAGCTTCAGGTGCCGCTTCGTCTGGGAAAGAACGAGTAGTGGAAGGGGAGGAGAAGGAGCAGGAGCAGGAGCAGCAAGGGGCGATGAGAGGGAGGGACGGGAACCGTGTACCAGGAGATGGAAGACTGGTAGTGAAACGACAGGGAGAAGCAGCACAGGGAGTGAGAGCAACAGCTGATCCTGAAGAAAAGGCTGCCGCTGCTACTGCTGCTGCATTGCCAGTGTCTGGTGCGCACTCGGCACTGGTGGGGCTGCAGCAGCTGTTGGAGCTGAGCAGGGAGGAGCAGCAGGAGGTGCTGCTGGTGCAGGCTATAGAGAGCGAAGCAGCAGCGCTGCAGCCCGGTCAGGCCATGGTTGTCACTTTGTCCACATCGCTCCTCCCTCTCCTGCGCCGCTCATGGCCTGCTGCTGCTGCTGCTGGTCGTGTGAACCCTGTAGCACCAGGAGCAGTACCACCAGCAACAGCAACAGCAGCAGCTCCAGCAGCAGCAACAGCAGCAGCAGCGGCATCCCTGGGCCTGTCTTCGAGTCTGCGAGCATTGGCTAGAGAGTGTCTCATACCAGCGCATCTCTTTGAATCCCACGCTGCTTCCGCTGCTGCTGGAAGAGGCTCTGACCACGCTTTTGCTGCGCTCTCTCCCGCAACAGCCAGTGGTGTCAGTGGCAGCGGCAGCAGCAGCGGCAGCGGCAGCGGCAGCGGCAGCGGCGCTGGCAGTACTGCAGGAGCGGCTCATAAGGCGTCTGCCTCCTCACTGGCAGCAGCAGGCGCAGGAGCGGGAGCGGCTCTCATCCTCATCACCTTCTCCTCTCTCTCCAAAACCCTCTCCCTCTCCGCGCTGCTCAAGCTGTTCACCTTAAAAGCCGCCTCGATAGCAGCAGGAGGAGCCAAGGGGAAGCTGTTCTCCTTCCTCATGCACCGCCTGGTGACAGCAGCAGGGATGAAAGCGTCTGCTGCTGCGGTCACAGGGCCGCTGGGAGCCAAGCTGGCGCTTCTAGCAGGGAAGGTGGGTCTACAGGGGAAGATCGCAGCTGTGGGGATTGGAAAAGCTGGGGCTATGGCAGGCGGCTCTGCTGCTGCAAGTGCTGCAAGTGCTGCGAGTGCTGCGAGTGCTGCTGGTGCTGGAAAGGCTGCAGTGGCTGCTGCTGGTGCTGGGAAGGCGGTGGCGGCTGCTGCTGCTACCGGAGCAGGGAAGCTGGCGGGTTCGGCTGGGCTTGTGGCAGGGACTGGGAAGGTGGCTGGAGGGTCAGCGGTAGTGGCGGCAGGAGCTGGGAAAGCAGCAGCAGCTAGCGCTGGTGCTGTGGGGAAGGCAGCAGGTGCGGCAAAAGCAGTGGGTGCTTCAGCTGCTACTGTGGGCAAGGTAGCAGTGGGTGTTGGCGGGAAGGTGGCAGGTGCAGGTGCAGGTGCCGGGAAGATAGCAGGTGCAGGTGCTGGGAAGATAGCAGCAGGTGGTGTGGCTGGTGGGAAGGCAGCGGGAGGGTCAGCTGCTACTGTAGCAGGTGCTACCGGGTCTGGTAAGGCCACTGGCGCTGCTGTTGCCGCTCCTGCTGCTGCTGCTGCCGCTGCCTCTGCCTCTGCCTCTGCTGCTGCCGCTGCTGCAGCGACAAGTGCTGCCACAGGGGCGATAACTGGTGCTGCAGGTGCAACCACAGTCGCCACAGCAACAGCAGCAACCGCCACAGCAACAGCAACAGCAACAGCAACAGCGACAACGGCAGCAGCAGTGACTTCAGTGACCAAGTCGGGAGTGGCCGCGGCAGCGGCAGCAGCAGGCAAGGTGGGAGGGTGGGCGGGCACGACAGCGCAGGTAGCAATGGATTCAGTGCAGAGAGCAGCATGGCAGTTGCTGCGCACCGTGCTTTACCAACAGATGCGCAAGCGGTCCCGCAATGGTAAGGGGCAGACGCAGCAGCAGGTGCAGGGGCAGCAGGGCAGTGCAGCGGTTGCTGCTGGCTCAGCTGTTGTCTTGACCACAGCAGAAGCAGCGTCTGTTCCTGTTGCGGCTGGTGTGGGTTCTGTGAATGGGGCTGCAACCACAGCAGCAGCAGGAGTAGCAGGAGTAGCAGGAGTAGCAGGATCAGCAGGAGCAATGGGAGCAGTGGGAGCAGGGCCCGAGCAGAGCACACAGATCCTCACCAGCTCAGGTAGCAGCACCCACCTACTCACCTCAGCACCCACCGGAACCGCTCTCAACCCAGCAGTAGCCGGAGGAGGAGACTCAGCCAGACCAGCAGGAGGGCGAGTGGCCCTCTGGCTGCAGCAGCAGGGGCGGAACCTAAGAGAAGGGCTGGCCAGTGCTGCAACTGAAGGGACCAACGACCGAGCGTGGCTGACACTCGGCGCGACAATCGGAACAGTGGCTCTGGTGACAGCGTATCAGGAGGAGATTCTGTATGGGGTGGCAGTGCTGCCTGAGGCCCAGGGGCTGGCGCGTGTGGGGAGGGGCGTGCGGCGCGTGAGGGAGGTGGTTGAGGCGTCTCGACCGCCAGGGTACAAGCTGGATGAGTTGGGACGGGTGGAGTCTTGAGAGACGTCTTGAAAGTCGGTTCTGGGGGCACACACAGTGTGTGACACACTGTAGGCTGCACGCCAGTTGGGTCATGGCGTATCAGGAGGAGATTCTGTATGGGGTGGCTGTGCTGCCTGACGCCGAGGAGCTGGCGCGCTTGGAAAGGGGTGTGCGGCGGCGGCGGGTGTGGGAGGTGGTTGAGGCGGCTCGGGCACTGTAGCATAGTCTGGAGCAGTTAGGTCGTGTCGAGTTTTGAGAGGGCGATGTTAGGTCGGGATGCTTGAGCGTAGGGTAGAGTTAGATGAGTTAGACGATGTGTGTTGGGGGGAAGCTATGCCATGATACCGTAGGTACTGTACCAGGTTGGAGAGGATGTGTTAATTTCTTGTTGGTTGAATCAAATAGAATAGTAGAGCCATGGTGTCTGGGTTGGTAGAAGGATTGTGAATCACAGCATGGCTCTTTGGTATGGTACCATTGGTGGACTTGTCGCTTCTCCAGACACTGGTTGGTACAGCTGATTTGTGGCACATGCTTGTAATCCAGTGACATGGTATGGTAAGCAGAAGTAAAAATAATTATTACTGTAAGCAGAGCTTCCGCTGTCTCCCTAAATGCAGAGCCTCCATTCTGCGGCCCAGTGGAGACTCCGGACTGGAGAGAGTTACCGGTAGTTCAGCAACCCAGCCTACTTGCGAGGTCCGCAAGTCACCAGGGACAATGCCTGGCTGATTGCAATGACAGGTTACGGAAAGGATGCTAACGTTGATGCTCCTTACCTATGATTTCATTCATGTGATGCATCCTCCTCACTGTGCTTCTCTCACCCACCCACCATTATCCATGCATCCATGAACCACCAGATAGACAGACAGACAAGCACGTAGACAGACAGATAACGGACCAGGCAGACAGACAGACAGATAGAGAGACAGACAAGCAGGTGGACAGACGCGGACAGACAGGCTCTTGAAAGCCACTCCGGTTTCTCCTCCAACCACCCACCCTCGTCCACCCCACCCGGGCCCACCTTTCACGTCTTGCCGAGTACTCGAGGAAATGATAAAGAGGGACGCAGAGGAGGGAGGGGCGACAGACAGACAGGGATGGAGCGAAAGAGGGAGGAATCTAAGGAAGATATTGGGAGAGGGAAGGAGGGCGGTGAGGAATTAGACAGATAGAAATTGGGATGGGAAAGAGAGGAGAGTGGAAGGAAAGGACGCGTGAGGGGAAGGGGGCAGAGGAACGGGCCTGGAGAGAGAGAGAGAGAGAGAGAGAGAGAGAGAGAGAGAGAGAGAGAGAGAGAGAGAGAGAGAGAGAGAGGAGAGAGAGAGAGAGAGAGAGAGAGAGAGAGAGAGAGAGAGAGAGAGAGAGAGAGAGAGGGAGAGGAGAGAGAGAGAGAGAGAGAGAGAGAGAGAGAGAGAGAGAGAGAGAGAGACAGAGAGAGAGAGAGGGAGAGAGAGTAGGAATGAGGGAAAGGTGGCAAAAATCCAGGAGAACAGGGGGTGGTGAAGTGAAAGAGCGACGCTGGATGACATGGAAAAAAGGAGCAGGGGGATGGAGAATGTGGCAAGAGGGAGAAAAAAAGGAGACAGGGACCCGACAAGGAAACCCTAAATTCTCAGTGACACTGACAACTCACAGTCGAAGCCAAACCATTACAAGCACATGCACGCACATATGGATACAAATATCATGCACATACACCCCACCGAAACGGTTACAAAAACTCCTAGCATTCCCACAAAAACCCCGCTCAATCCCTCACGACCCATGCACAATGGGTCGAAGGCCTCTCGCAATCCCTGGCCCCTTCAAAAGCACTAGGTGGAGAAGGAAGGGAAAGTGGGTCAGGTTAATGCCGCCCTTCCCTTTCTTCTGAACTCCATTGACTGAACCCAGTGACTGACGACGACGCGAGTGTGGTTTCTGGTGCGGCTTGTTTGGACATGCAATTGAATCGACGCGGATAAAAAAAGGGAGCATTTCTGAAGTAAAAATGTTCTAGGAATACAAATGCGTTCTTACAGGATCTTGTTCTAAAAGACTCTGGTCTCTCACGGGAAGACTATAAGTTTGTACCGGTAAAAGGAGGGGAGAGGGAACAGGAGGGAGGGAAGGAGTGAGGGCGGAAGGAAACTGGTTTGCGGAAGCTGAAAAAGTGAGCACTGAAACCTGCATTATATATTGCGTAAACCAGCAACTGTCCATGAGCGAGCGACGAGGAAGCGGGATCAACCCGGTGAACATCCTGAAAGAATCCTGACGGGACTTTGGAGAAATCCTGAAGGTGATCTGGTGGAGCAACTAACGACAGCTATCGACAGCTACAGAAAGCGATCAGGCTCTTCAAAAGCGACCGTCGCGCCTACCGTATCCTCCAATAGCCGTCCGAGATATCCCGCCATGCACTGCCGCTAACTAGCAACCAGCGACCAGCACCCACAACTCCACCTGCTGTCCTTCTCCTCTCCCATTCCCGCAGCCGCATTCTCCTCTCCCCTTACCCCGCTGCTCCATCTCCCTCTTCCCGCTCCCGCTCCCGCTCCCCACTGCGCGCTCATCTCCACAAGGGTGGTTCATTGCCAGAGCACCTCCATGGGGATGTTGCGCTCCTCCGACACCTCCTTGAACTGCTTCATCTTGCTCACCGCGTCTAGCACGGCGCGCGCGTTGTTCAGCGGGTTCGGGCTCCCCAGCGACTTCCCCAGCGCGTTCTCCAGCCCCGCGAGTTCCAGCACCACGCGCACCGCACCTCCCGCAATCACACCCGTACCGGTCGCCGCGGGCCGCAGCATCACCGCCGCCGCGCCGAAATTCCCGTCGGAGCGATGCGGGAACGTGCGGTACTTGGTCATGGGCACGCGCACCATGTGGCGACGCGCGTCCTTAACCGCCTTCTGGACTGCGGTGGAAACTTCCTTCGCCTTTCCGACGCCCACGCCGACCTGGCCCCCGCGGTCCCCGACAACGACTACCGCCCGGAAGGACAGCTGCTTGCCACCCTTCACGACCTTCGTCACGCGGCGCACCTGGAGCACGCGCTCCGACATACCGTCGGACGCCTGGAGCCCGCGCCGGCCGCCGCGACCGCCGCCGCTGCCGCCCTCGCTGCTGTTGTCGGAATCGCCGCCGGTTCGCGGTCCCCTGCGCTGCCGGCGCGCGGGAGCCTCCTCGTCGTCCTCATCGGAAGAGGTGAAGCTCTTAGAGTCCTTGACCACGCCGAACGGCTTTCCGTAAAGCGCCTCGTAGCCCGCGCGAATGTCCTCCTCGCTCTCCTCCTGATCGCCCTCCACGTCAGCGTACGCTGCCTTGCAGACGAATGCGGCTTCCGCGCGCTGGCGGGGCGCGGAGGCGGACAGGGAGAGCGCGGATCCGCGGAGGGAGCTCGCGGAGAAGCTGAGAGGGCGCGCGGTGGACGGGCCGTCGATCGCGGCGGTGGGCGCGAGAGAGAGGGATGAGAGTCCCAGAGAGAGGGAAGATGCCATGGCGGTAGCCATTGCGGCAGGGAGGGAGATTCTAGCAACTGTTGGGATCTCGAGAAGCAGCACACGGCTGAAGTTTGGAGAGGAAAGCCCAGGCAAGGCAAAGGCAATTCCTCCTGGCTGAGTGAGTGTGGTGTGGAGTGGAGACTCCGTGGGTCGTGAGTGAAGTGCGGTGGGATGGGGGAGATGGGGGCCCTCCCTTGACAATCCCAAGGGCGTGCAGTGCTGTGATGTGATGGCTGAGATGCGCGGGAGGCGGGGCTTGAGGCGGAGAAGTACAAAGAGGGGGTGTGCGGGGAGAAGCGCGGAATGTTGCACGCGGAGCTCTCAGGGAGTGCGCAGCGGAGAGAGTAGCGGAATTTTCCGAGTCTGTCCAATTGTACCCCCCGTAACACAGGGAATTTGGGGAGGGGAATGAAAACCCGAGGCGAAAGCTGATTGGGTCGTGCTGATTCAGCGCTTTTGCTGCCATGTTGGAGCGTTTGTTGAGCTAACGTGGCGAGACGAGCGAAACGTGGTGTGCGGAAATGTGTGACGACTCTAGGCGAAGCGTGGCGAAAATGTCCCGGTGGTAGCCCACCATGGAGAAGCTTTTTATCCAGAACGTGTCCACACGTCACACGTCAGACTTGAGGGAGAACAGCTGTACTCGCTACGGAAACATTCGACTCGAACCTGATAGTGATTCATTCCACCAGTTGAAATGAAATCATTTCGAGAAACCGCTTTAGTAGAAATTCACATGGCATTTGTCTCTGGCAACTCCCGGATGCACTTTCCGCCTCCATCCCTCCAACCTCGTGCATGCGAATCACAGTGTCTTCCTCGGCACGCGAATTCGCCCCTCGAAAAAAGGACGAGCTCCAAGCCTCACTTGCATATTCGCTTCCAAGTCGTTTCTTGAATAGTCTGCTGTCTTTCCCTCCCGTCATTTTTCGTCGGTCTTCCACGCTAACGTCTGCCGTCATCTCGTTATATCCCCGCTTCTTTATCTGAACGAGAACTTCGTCTCTATCTTTTATCGGATTTGACCGTGCGCGTCAACATCTTTGACAGGCTCGACCGTCCGTTTCTGCCGCATAATCCTCCTTCATGAAGCTCCGTGTGCGATCCGCCCAAGGCGGCGCCACTCATCGCATCGAAGCGCCGCCGCTCTGCTCGCTCCGCGCGCTCCGGGAACTCATCGCCGCCTCGTTCGGCGTTCCGCCCGCGGCCCTGCGCCTATCACTGAACAAACGCGATGCGCTCACCGGTGGCGACGCCGGCCCTGACGTGGCAATCTCTGAGCTCGGAATTCGCGGCGGCGATTTGATTTTTGTGCTGACCGAGGGCGCGGGGGGCGCAGCGACCGCGGAGGGGACGGTTCTTGCGGATGGAGTGGAAGGCGGCCGGAGAAGCGTACGGATCAGGAGGAATACTGTCTGCTTTGGTGCAGACGGAGCGAATTCAGCGGTAACAGTACAACCAACACCGCCAGCACTGCCAACAGCAGCAGCACCAGCAGCCGGAGCGCCCGCAGCAACAGCGCCTGCCGCAGCAGCAGCAGCGGCAGTGGCGGTCGGAAGCGAGGAGTGGCAGCGGCAGCGCAGGGAACGGTGCGCCAGTGCTGCGCTCAGCAGGGCTGTGGGCGGGGATTGGCGCGCAGGGGCGGGCGGAAGTGACGGCATCGGAAGGCCGGCTGGTGGTGGGACGAGAATAGTAGAGGACGCGACAGGGCGCGCAGGAGAGGGAGAGTGGGAGGCAGCAATGGAGGTGGAAACTGGGGAAGTTGATGTACCGGCACCAGCAACAGCACCAGCATCTGCAGCGGAAGCACCACCATCAGGAGCACCATCCACACCATCAGCGGCAGTAGCAGCAACATCAACAGCAGCAGCAGCAGCAGCAGCAGCAGCAGCAGCAGCACCGGCGGCAGCAGCACCGGCAGCAGCAATTCCTGCGACGCTGAGCCGAGTGATTCGTGCAGAGATGCTTGGTGTGGGCATGGGGAAAGTTGCCATACCAGCAGCACCAGCACCAGCACCAGCAGGAGCAGCTGCAGGTGCAGGTGCAGGAGCGGAAGTGATAGACGGAGCAGTGGAAGATAGGAATGTGCAGCATGCCCTGTCCCCAGCTGCCTGGCTGGCGCTGGCTGTGCATGCTGCCATGATAGAGTCCGGATTCACTCCCGTCAACCCTGTGAATGGTGTAAATACCGTGAACTCTGAAAACTCTGTAAATCCTGTAATCTCCACTAGCCCTGTGAGCCCCAGTCCTGCACCAGCCTGCGGCGACGACAACAGCAGCAGCAGCAGCAGCAGCAACGGTTTGGCGCCGCTCAGTTGGACTCATCCGTCCAAGCCTCTCACTATACTCTATTCCATTGCCGTCTCTTCCTTGCTCCCTCCTCTTGTCTCACTGAAATTCTGCACCCTAGGCCAGTCCCTGCTGGTCTATGGCTCTACTCTCTCCCCTACCCCACCCTCCACCTCTTCTTCCTCCGTCCCAGCCGCCTCTCCCCCCTCCATTCGTCGCCTTGTCCTGCCATTCTCCACGTTCCTGAAACAGCCGCAGCCCCAGCCCCAGCTGCAACAGCCATCCCAGCAGCAGCAGCAGCAGGGAGGCGCACAGGCGAGTATGGAGGCGGCACGGGTGGCAGCAGCGGTGTACGTGAGTGTGAGAGACATGTGGCGCTGCATCAAGGACCAACTCACTCTCCCCCTCCTCTCCGACGCCTCATTTCGCTTCCGCCTCTGTGCCTGCTCTGCTGCCACTGCCACTCCTGCTTCGACTGCTGGTGCTGGTTCCCCCGCGCCTCCCACGCTGCACATCCACACACACACCTGCCCGAGGCCCACCACCACCACCACCCATCACCCTTCCTCCTCCCCAACCTCCCGCATCCCCTCCCCTGCTCCCCCTGCGCCGCTGCTCCTCTTCCTGCCGTCCCTGCTCGCGCTCCCCCACGAGCTCCGCCTGCTGCTGCTCAGGAAGCTACCTCCTGTGGACCTCGCATCCCTCGCGTGCACGTGCTCGGACCTGCACTTCACAGTTGACGCAGCACACGAGGTCTGGTTTGCGCTCTTTGCCACTGAGTTCTGCCTCCCTGCGTCCCCCTCTTCTCCCACTCCTGCCACAACTGCTGCCACTGCTGCTGCGGCTGGTGGTGGTGCTACTACCTCTGCTGCTGCTGGTGCTGCTGTGGCCACTGCAGCGCTCCCGCTCCCCCCTCCCCCACCCCCCGGGCACACCAACTGGAAAGCCGCATTCGGGTCATGGTGGCAGAAGCGCCGGGAGAGAGAGCGGGCGGAGGAGGAGGAGAGGAGGCAGCGTGAAGCAGCAGCTCGTGCTGCTCGCTCCCGCTTCTTCCCCCCATTCCACCGCCCCCAGCCCTTTCTCCCCCCGCCTGGGGGAGGATTTGCCCCTCCCCGGATGATCGGGGGGGATTATGACCGTTTCCCAGGCGGGGGAGGGGGTGGAGGCGGGTTTGGGGGGTTTGGGGGGTTTGGGGGCATGGGCGGGGTGGGGATGGGCAGAGATGGGATGGTGGGCGGGGATGGGATGATGGGGGGAATGTTTGGACCGGATGGGAGGGTGATTGGAGGGGAAGGGGATGGGATGGATGTGGATGGGGGGATGGGTGGTTCTAGAGCCATGCGGGAGGCCCTGGGGGGAGGGCATGGGGGAGTGGGAGGTGGGGGGGGGATAGGTGGGGTTGGGCGAGGAGGAGGAGTGGGAGGAGTGGGGAGGAGGGGTGGTGGTCGTGGTGACAGGTTCTTCCCTGGTGGTGGTACTATGGGTGGTGGTGGGGGTATGAATCGATTCATCTGACATGCACATTCTGCCTCCCCATGCACCATGCAGCTTGCGCCATGCACCTTGCACCATGCACCATGCCCGATGCTCCATCCCCCACACATCGCAGTCCTCCTTTCTTTACCATCTCCGTTGTTCCTTCAATTGTGAGGGAGGGACTGCAAACATACGGTACGGTAACAGTAGTGTTGCGGGGGATGCAGGGATCACTAGCCTAGCCGCAACTGCTTTATCATAGGCACTGTGCTGGTGCTTTTTTTACTGCAGCTGGTACTGCCTAGTTCCTGCCTCATGCAAGCTCCACCACACACAACGATTCCTCTTTTACTTGCTTGTCTCTGATGACTTCTCTTTTGTTTGTACTCCACATGTTAATTTCACAAGTGTATAAAGAACTAGAGGAGTTTCTGGTATGATTAGCGGGAACATCTACAGTAACATAAAGCATCTGAAGCACAAGGAACCAAACTATACACCACCCAACGCAATGCTATGTTAGCTGAAGTCTCATGCATCAAGCTGACAGCACCAGAGCTGCAGCGGCAACAGCAGCACACCACCCTGCCTGGAAACAGGGTTCATGGAAATGCAAGTTATAATACGGTACCCAGACTGCAAGCGAGTGTAGCAGCACCCGATCCACATGCCCTCATCCCATCCCATCTACTGCAATGCAAAACCTGCGCCCCACTGCAATTCACTATACCCCACCCCACTGTGCTTCACCCACCCATCCTACCTTATCGTTCTCTGTCCTACACTACCCTCCCGTCCCCTGAAATGCTTCTTACCACCTACACCAGTTGCTGGCTCACTTCTGCTGAGCCGGCAAGTCAAACTGGTGCATGGTTGGTACTCCAACAATGGTGCTGGTACTCCAACGGGAACAACTCTTGCCCTTGCCGCCCCCCACTCCACCCTCGTACTTCCTTCCCTCCCGCTCATTCTCTCTTCAATCTGCTCCGCTTCCCACTCCCCATATCCCTCTCCCAGTCACTGCACCGGCGCGCCTCTCTTGTGCTTGCTCCTGCCGACCTCACTGCCCCCCATGGCCCCCCCTCCTCCTTCCATGCCCAACCCCAGGTGATCCACCATGGTCTCGGACACAGCCAGCTGGTACATCTGTCTCAGCTGCAGCACAGCACCTCCCCCTCCATCGCTGCTGCAACACTCCACCCTGCTGTCCTGTCCACACTCCCCTCCCTCCTGAGGGATGCCTCAACTCAACTCGACCCTCACAGCACCGGCGCGCTTCTCTTGCGCTTGCTCCTGTCGACCTCACTGCCCCCCGCGGCCCCTCCGCCCTCCATGCCCAGCCCCAGGTGATCCACCATGGTCTCAGACACAGCCAGCCAGTACATCTGCCTCAGCCCCTCATTGGCCCATCAGGGTTCCCTTTTTGAGAGATCTCAGATCCGAGTTCTCAACAATCACAGCACCGGCGCGCTTCTCTTGCGCTTGCTCCGGTCCACCTCACTACCCCCTGTCCCTCCGCCCTCCATGCCCAGCCCCAGGTGATCCACCATGGTCTCAGACACAGCCAGGCGGTACATCTGTCGCAGCCCCTCATTGGCGCGCTGCAGGTTGCTCAGCAGCCGCGCGTTCTGCAGCTGCAACGCTACCAGCGATTGGTCCTCCTGGCACAGGGCGGGTGGGGGCGGGGGGGACGAGGGAGCGTGGGGAAGGGGATGGGGGAAAACGAGGGGGGGAGAGGGGAGAAGTACGAAGGGGAGAGATCTCAAAAGCGTGCAGCCGCGCAATCTGCAGCTGCAGCGCTACTAGCAATTGGTCCTCCTGGTAAAGGGGGAGGATGGGATGGACAGGGAGACCGGGGGACAAGGGGATGAGGGGGAGGTGGAAGAGGAAGGGGAGAGAAAGTGGAAAGGAGAAGAGAGAAGGTGGAAGGGAGAGGGAGTTTTGAAGACTTCCTGCCAGGCGGATAACACGGGCGACCAACCAGCAATTATCCAGCAGAAAGCAGGCAGCAAGCACACACCAACCCACCAGCAACCAGCCAGCAGCCAGCAGCCAGCAGCCAGCAGCCAGCAGCCAGAAAGCACCGATTCACACTCACCCTGGTCTCAACCACAGTCCGCACCAGCACCTCGCTTCACACAACCAGAAAGCTCACACCAAGCAGCAGGCAGGCAGGCAACAAGAACCACTCATTCGCCCCACTCACACTCACCTTGGTCTCAACCACAGTCCGCACCAGCACCTCGCTGCTGTGACACCCATTCCTTTTGAGTCGACTCAAACGCCAGCAGCAACCACTCGCCCCACTCTCAAAGAACCAAGCACCCACCCGCCCCACTCTCAAAGAACCAAGCACCCACCCGCCCCACTCTCTCACCTTGGTCTCAACCACAGTCCGCACCAGCACCTCGCTGCTGTAACACCCGTCCACTCCCCCCCACTCCTCGCCCTCTTTCTCCCCACCCACACTCCCCGGAACCGGCACCAACCCCCCACCCACTCCCCCTCCCCCTCCTCCTCCCCCTCCCCCTCCCCCTCCCCCTCCAGCAACATTCGGCAGCAGCAGAGGCGCCTCTTCCCAGGGTTCACTGCCGGTGAGGCCGGTGGCAGCGGCGTTGGCGTACTTGTGGAGAGGCATGGGGGGGAGGGCGGAGGGCTTGCGCGCAGAGGAGGGCGCGGAGGAGCAGGAGATGTCGGATGAGGGGAAGAGCGTTGGGGGCTTGGGGAGGACGAGCAGGCACGAGACGGGGCCTGGGGGGGGAATGGGGAACAGGGGGAAGGGGAGAGGGGGGAAGGGATAGGAGAGGGGAAGAATGGGGTTTGGAAAGGAAGTAGGGAGAAGTGGTAGGAAGCGTGGGCACAAGCAAGGCAGAGAGGGAGGCAATGACAGGGGGGGGTTGGGGCAATGAGAGGGAGCGCACCTTTGCAGTTGGTGAAGGTGCGGAGCAGCTGGCGTGTTACAGTGTCCCACACTCGCACGGTGCAGTCCTCTGATGCCGACACCAGTGACACCGCGTCCGCACTGAACTCGAGTGCTGTGATGCTGTGACTGTTGTTGTTGTGGGGGGGGGGGGGGAGGAGCGGGGGAGATGGACGGGAAGGGAGAGATGAGACGTCAAGCTGTGCAGTCCACTGATGCGGACACCAGTGACACCGCACCCCGAGAGATGGGGTGCACAGCATCGCACAGCAGGACACCGCACCCCTCCTGTGGCCAATCAGCGCGTCATCGTGGGTCATGGGGTCAATGGCGCTGCTGCCGAAAGAGAAGGCAGGGGTTGAGGGGTGCGGCGGGGGGCGGGGTGCACCACCACACCACACCACAACACACCCCACCCCACCCCACCGCACCGCACACCACATCACACACACACCTGTGACCGATGAGCGCGTCGTCGTGGGTCATGGGGTCCATGGCGCTGCTGCCAAAAGAGAAGGCAGGGGTGCACCAGCACACCACACCACAACACACCCCAACTCACCCACCGCACCGCGCCACATCACACCGCACCTGTGACCGATGAGCGCGTCGTCGTGGGTCATGGGGTCAATGGCGCTGCTGCTGACGGCCGTGAAGTTGAGCGCCGTGAGGTAGATGTTGCCATCCGCGCCCCCCGCGTACAGCGTGTACTCTCCGGGATCCATGGCTGCTGCTGTCACGGCCACCGGGAAGACGTACGATCGCAGCAGTGCACCCATTGCTAGACTCCAGATCTGATGGGGCCAGGGGAGGGAGCGAAAAGAGGGGAAGGGGAGAAAGGCAGGATGGGGGAGACGTATAATCTCAGCAGTGCACCCATTGCTAGACTCCAGATCTGATGCAGCAAGAACAGGGGGAGGGGATGGGGAATGGGGTGAGGGGGTAGGGAGAATAATAAAAGAATGGCAGGGAGGGAATGGAGTGGGGGGGAGTGAGAAGGGGAGACTGGGGGGTCGGGTTGAAGAGGAGGGAGGGAGAAGAGGGGGATTGACCATGCGAGCATGCATGCAGGCAGGGAGGCAGGTGGTGTAGAAGCAGCAGGGCTGAGTGGTGCTGTGCGGTGCGGTGCGGTGGCAGCGACGCACCTTGCAGGAGTGGTCGGAGGACGAAGAGACGAGCACGGAATTGACTCCGCCCGCTGCCATCCACAGCGACGTGATGGCCTGCCGGGCCGGGAGGGGGGTTGGAGAAGAGGGGAGGGGAGGGGAGGGGAGGGGAGGGGAGGGGAGGGGAGGGGAGGGACAGCAGGGGAGAAGCAGAGAAAGTCGTGTTTTGAGTCGACTCATTACCCTCCGGCACTTCTATCCACAGAGACGTGATGGCCTGACGGGATGGGACGGGAGGGGAGGGGAGGGGAGGGGAGGGGAGGGGAGGGGAGGGGAGGGGAGGGGAGGGGAGGGGAGGGGAGGGGAGGGGAGGGGAGGGGAGGGACAGCGGGGGAGAAGTAGAGAGAGCAGTGAGAGGGGGGCACAGATTTGGTACAACAGTTGAGAGGAGAAAAGGAGAAGGGGAGGAGGAGGAGGGGCGGGCGGAGGCACAGCATAGGTGAGACACGGCATGGCACGAGAAGATAGCTCGGCGCCATAGCTCGTTGGCCCAACTGTACCTTGCCAACCAACCAACCAACCAACCAACCAGGGCAAAGGCCAGGGCGAGCAGAGGTGGGGAGTGGGGGACGCGGGGGGAGCGGGGGGGAAAAGGGGGAACGCGGGGAGCGGGCACAGCGGGAGGAGCAGGCAGATCCTATCACGGCCATCGTCGGTTGTGACAGCACGACAGGACCGAACCATGCCCATCCAGGGCATGGGCATGGATCAACCCCCCCCCCCCCCCACACACACACACCTCTCCTTCTCGCCCAAACCCCACCGCACCCCGTCCACATCACTCTCCTAACACTAGCTCTTGCTTCTCCTCATCCCCCCATTACCCCCTCACCCTCCCCTTTCCCCCCCCTTCCCTTATCCCCTCTACCATCCCCACGGACATTCGAAAACCCCTTCACTCACACCCTAACCCCGCTTTCTCGGAATCACCCCTCCGCTTCTTCCCCCTTCCC